CAAGGCTAAAAAATTGTTAGATGCATGCATGCTATGTATTTTAAACTAATTTTATTTTAATTTTTGTACTTCTGTGTGGAGTATTGTTAGTCTTGAACTCTTGATCTCGATATCCAATGTGTGCTGGTTTTAAATTTGTGAATAAATGCTTTATTTCTTTATTAAAGTTATCTCTGTAATTAAAGTTTGACCAACACGTGATATGAGAGCGAGGTTTAAATTAATCCATAAGATGGAGATTAATGCCTAATCCCGAGATTACCAACTTAAAAGTTTTGACTTCTAATCACTTATTTTGCTAATTAATGCAAAAAAAGAACTTTTGCACGACTTCCTTATTGCAACTTGATTTTTGCAATACTGGAGAATAGTTTTCTCTGTTTAGATTATTCAAATCCTTTTATGTAAACACTGTAATGTTAACAAATCAAAACATTTTCATATTCAGAAGATGGCCTAGGAGGGGGGAAAAGACTCTCCATTTGGTTTTTGTCCACTTTGTTTTTTTATAATAAAATATGAATAATGTTAACTATAGCGAATTTTAGAACATGCATTTTTTTAAACTTTACTTTTACCTTTGACATTTTGCTTATTTTTTGTCATAATTCGCAGAAATCTTTGTTTGGTTCTTTGAACGTTTTAAATAAACAAGAGAAAAGGTCAAGCATTCAATAAATTCTGAATAATCAGAAATAGTTTACATAGAGGAGGAGGGGGTAGGTAGGTGTATTTATACGCTCGTGGTGATTTAGGAGGCCTCGACAATGTAATATTTGTTGCATCCCTATTACCTCCCTGTAGCGTTTCCAGCGAACGAAAATTTTTGCGAAAAGTTACGAAAACTTTTGCTCCTATTTCGAAAAATTTCGCATTTTTTCTTGAAAATGAATTAGGCGAAAAATGCGAAATTTCACGAAAACAGTTTTCGCTGAATTTCGCGATAAATAATTTCGCGAAAAAAAAGTTCGTGAAAAAAATTTCCGCGAAAACCATCGCCGCAACAATTTATTGCGCAAAATAGTCGCATTTTTTCACCCCAAAATTTTCGCTTTTGTTTTTTCGCGAATTTTCGCATTTTTTCGCAAATCAGATTCAAGCGACATTTCGCGAAAAAAGCTAAAATTTTCGCATTTTCAAACACAATTTCAAATGACCCTGAATGCAAAGCGCTTCAAGTCCAATCTTTTTTAATGTGAGATTTATTTTATATATCTACAGGGTTACCCACAAAGGATGAGACCTCTGTGACGACTGTACGGAATATAAATGTATGATCTCTTATGTTAATGTTTCCCTGAACCTGTAAATTATTTTTATATTTGTCAAATTATTGAATTTGTCATTAAAAGATAAATTTCAAGTCAGAAGCCTGAATTAGATCGTCATATTTCAAGACTTTACGGTCGACTTTCTGGTCTTATTTTTTGTATGATTTCATTTCGTCAATACACAGTAATACTCGACTAACAATAAATAAACAACTGAATAGGTTCAAAACCTTAAATGAAAGTAAGTGAGATGCACTTTGATCGTAACCTCCCTCACCCAACTGTGTAGCCCTGAATCACGGTCTGAATATATTAAATATGGCCCAAGAATAGTTTCTTGCTGAACACCCAAATAAAACTGCAAAGGCAGCAGCTGACAATTTTCAAATAGCTCTTTCCTTATCTAAAGATAAGAAATAGGAATACTAATCTATAATTATAGTTCTTTGTTAAATAAATGCTAAAAAAACATTTAAATAAGCTATTATTTTTGTTTTTAACATAAATTTGAATTTTTTATTTATCTTTAAATAAATCTTTATTTTAATTTTATAAACTTTACAAGCTTAATAAATCTTATTTTTTTAAATCATCTTTCTACCCAAAAAGATTTGGTATAAAATTTGTTAATAAAGATGCAGGAAAAACAGGATTTAACATGGATATTATGTAACAGTTTAATAGAATTCAGAAAATCTGTCTTTTTCAAGCTNATAAGAGCAAGAAATAGAAATAATTTTATATAACCGTCGGGAACATTAGCAATAAGTTTTAAACATAGCATATTTCTGTAATTTACATATATTTTGAAACTCTGGTGTGGTGCCCACAAAACTGTGGAAAAGATATCAATTATGTATTTTATGTTGTTATAAAAGAAGGTTTTACTAGGAATTTAACTTTTTATAGGGACTGTAAGCGTAATTTCAAGTGACCCTCCACGATTCACATCGGTACCCTTAAATCCTTTACCTGATCAATACTGTGAAAGATATTGTCGTTTTTCTTGGTTGAAAGAGTTTAATTCTTATCATTCCTGAAGGTTTTCCTGCAGTAGAAATTCGCATGTATATTTTGTTGAGAAACCATGGTTTGAAAATAATCTGTTTTCAAAAATGTAAACATTAATATGTAATTAAAACATTAAATAGACAAAGCTTTAAAGGGCATGATTTTAAATCGGCGAATTGCCATTTTGCAATGAGTTTCATTTGTAATTACGCGTACAGTCCCTTTAAGTGAAATGGGTGTTAACGTTTTCATTTTTTTGAAAAACGATGGTTTCGTTATGAAAACGACGATTAAAAATCAAAAACGAAACAATCGTTCTTAAAAACGATAGTTTTTTTTAAGTTCGTTTTTTGAAAATGATCGTTTTTATAAAACATGTCGAACGGTCGTCGTTAACAATCGTTAACGAAGAGAGGAAACCGACCTGAAGGGCATCTTTACTTATCATTAAGTAGTTTTTTTTGAAAATATCAAGACGTTTTAGCTCCCCCACAACTGTTTTACTTCATGTAAGACGACATTCAATAAAGTTGCATGTAATGTTTTTTTTCAAAAACGATCGATTTTCCAAAAACTACGATCGTTTCGTTAACGATCGTTAACATAATTGTGAATTAAATTTTTTTTAAAACGATAGTTTTTTCAATAGCGATCGTTTTTGAAAAACAACTGTATAAAAAACGGTCGCAAATCGTTTTTATAAAAACGATCGTTTTCAAAACCGATCGTTATTCGTTTTATAATAATTCAAAACGAGTGGGTCGTTTTTAAAAACGATAGTTTTTTTCCCGAAAACGAAACAATCGTTTTTGAAAACGATTGAAAAACAAAACAAAAAATGATCGTTTAACGATCATTTTCAAAAACGATTAACAACCCTACCGGTACAAATGTGTTTGACTCAGGTTCAAAAGTCTTGACTTGAGTTTAAAATCCACTTTCCTATTCCACAGTTTTCTGGTTCTTACTGTAACATAACATACAATACATAACAAACAAACATATTTATATATTATATGATATATACTTTTTGTGAAGGATGTGATCAGTAAAAAACGAAAATCAGAGTTTCAATTTTTGGTAGACAAAAATTGTTGGAAGGGGAGGGGGGGGTAAATCCTCTATTATATTTAATACATATAGCCATAATTATGGTGAGAGTCTATATGTTTTGTCAAGGATTATAATTTTAAAGAGCTACTTTTACTTATTGTGTTCTGCTTGCAATTCAATTTGAAGATATCGTCTTATTATTATTCCTAATTTAAAAAGATATAATTAAATTCAACAAAATTCGATTCATAAGTCTTAAATAAATAAAACAAAAAACGGCCATATTCATAACTAAACTTTATCTAAAAACTACCCCTTAAAACCTTTACGTGTTAGTTGAGTACAAAGATACTTGTGTAAACTTATCGAACCCCGGTTGTATGAAGCTGGTAATTCAGGTATGCGCTGTGTTGAATTCAGACTGGTGTGCAGCGCACTCCGGAATTTGTTCAGAAGTACTCACTACCAGACCCAAAATTTTACAATTTAAAAGCACAAGAATAGATAAAAAGAGACACAAAAAGATATAAAATACAACAACAACAACAAAACAATTTACCCAACGAACAAGCTAATTAAAAAGATGCTAATGAAAGAAAAAATACAGAGAACATATCTTTAATATAACTTTTACGCTAGCAGAAGAATGACGGCATATAACGTAAAAAACGCAAGTGGAAATTCTTAAAAAGTCCTAAAATCTTTTTGAAATTATAGAGAAGACGACATTCTATGGCTTCTATAAATTGAACCAAGTTGAGGCGTCTGGTTTTGTTTATAAATCCCAATTTAGATCGTGTAAATGCTCAAAATTGTGATTTTTGGAACTAATGAAAATTCAAAAACAATTAATCATTAAAAAAAACGCTTTTATAAAAGTTTTCTTGCAGAAATTACTAAGTTTTTAGAATATTATGTGCGTAATTTGGCGTTAAGCTTGGAGATAATCTAATATGATGCTCTGCATAACTGATACACTAGAAACTTCTAATGTCGATTTACTTTGTTAACCACTGTGATTTGATATATTTGGAACATTAAGACAGGAAGATGAACTGTATTAAGTGGTATACTTGTTCTAAGGTCAGGCCCTTTCGTAGAAAACAGCGCAAACATTCATTGGACAGGAGGCTTGTGAATGGAGAATTGGCAATGGTTTAAAGTTAGGTAGAAATTAATTCGTATAGTGTAACAAAATATTGTAAATATATATATAGAATTAAAACATGATTTAGTATAGAACTTAACTCCCTAGCGTAGAGAATTGTAACTATTCTGTCAGGTTCTTTTTATTCTCAAGGCCAAATAAGGTAACTCACTTTTAGGAATCACAGAACTGTTTGATGAAATACAACTAAACTCAAATATAAGAAGACATCGGAAGAATTTTATAAATGTCGTCTTTAAGATTTTCACTGGGGTTTGCCGCAAAAAATTATGAAAGATTTTATACATAAATTAGCACCAAACTTTATTAAGCTGTTTGCAAGCATATTCCACATATTTCAGGGTTATTTATTTATCTTTAAAAAAATATAATTTACAAAATTTCCGATAAGGATGTTTTTAAAGGATGTGGGGGGGGGGAAATTAGATTAAATAAATATCAACTGTTTATTTGATATAAAAAAACATTAATTCATACAAAGTAACAGTTTTTTTTACAGGAATGCATAATTTTCTTGTCTTTTTTATTAAAATGTTAAGAAAAATTAAAGTTTTCTGTAAATCAACGAAATCCATTCATTTCTATAAAAAAGAGAATACTTTTCTGGTAAAATATTTGATAATCTTTTAAAAGAATAATCTTACTTTTTATTTTCAGATCTACGTTTTCAATTATAAACAAATTTTTAGAATTTTAGATTTTTTGATTATTAGTGGCAAAAATGTTCGATAATATCGTTAAACATTGTTTATTTGTTTTTAAATCTGTTCACTTCCTCTTTTTTTTGTTTTGTTCTGCAAATAATACCATCATCCAAGATCCACATTGCCATAAAAAGACTGGGTCAACTTTAAAGTGTCACAACGCCTGGGCTTCTATCTAACTGAATCTCTATTGCAGTCCCGGATAGTTTATTATTGTATAAAAAGCTGTATTTGTCTTCAGGTTTATAGGGTTTAAGAAGTTATTTGCAAAATTCTCAACGATTTTTTTACAATAGTTTGCAAACTTTGCATTAACATTTTTTTATTTCTGTTTGTGCTAAGAATGTGATAAATGTTCAAGTATTCTGTTCCTTAGATTTCCCGAATCCATGAATTCTTTTTCTTCTTTAGGTTTCCCTTTGTCAAAAGATTTTGTTAAGTCATCAAACATCTGAAAAAGTTTTTATTTTTAATTTTACATTGTTAGGAAAATATTGTTCAAATCCTACAAGCGATGTTGTATTTAAAGTGTTTACTACAAAACAAAAGGGTCTTTTTTTAAAAAAAGGTTTTTGCTTTTTGTATACAGAAAAAAATATTATCCAAGGATGTAATTTAAGGAAAGATATTTCAGAAGTGTACGCATCTTTTGTACTGCAGTGTACTGTCTCTGGGCGGTAATGTAAACACAAGACGGATGTCGAAGCCTGACATGGGATCCATATTTCACATAAAAAATCAATGAAATATTCTGGTCATAGGAAACTATTATGTGAATTATCAAAATTATCAAAATTGAATGCTTTTAACCTCCTCGAATACTGAACGAACAATGATGCATCTATTCTTGTTTACAAATGCCGCCCAAAGAGAACTGGTTGCAATATGTACGCAGAGTATACACGACCGCAATTAACTTTCCTTGCATTACAACCTTGTTATTATCATTGAAAATTGGGGAAAATTTTCTATTAAATAAATTTTTCCATTTAAATATTAAGTAAAAAAAAAAAATTTTAATTTTTAAATTTTACTAAAAAACCAAAAACGTGTCATTTATGACACCAACGTCTAAAAAAGTTTGTCCTGATTTAAATTAAATGTCATTGTAATGTAATGTGGGGTTTGCTTCAGTCTAAAAATATGGATTCTGATAATTGTATAGCTTTTTGGAAACCCTAAAACAAGAAAAAGCAGAGTTCAAAAAGAATAAGAAGACTTTTTTTAATTAAGAAAATGGGTTTTACCACAAATTCTGGTTTTTATTTCCGATGTCTTTGCAACCCTATGCTGTAGAGTGTAGACCTTTGATATTTCAAACTATGAATTATGTAGGATCAAATAGCCTAAGTTTCAAATATCAAAGATTTACAAAGCTTGCTAAGATATTGGGATAAGAAAATGTTATTGCAAAAACTCAGTTCCTTTGCACATCCTTTGTTTTTCTTAAACAGTTTTATATGTCCTTGTATATTTGAAATAGTGTAGCGTGAAAGTATAAATACCTTTGAGTATTCCTCTAGATCACAACATTCTACTTTCCATTCAGAAATCAACTGTTCTACTTCAGTCTACAAATTTTATTTGGAATTTTAAAAAATATTATTATCTATTTAAAAATAGTAATTATTATACCTTTTCTAAATGAAGAGCCGCTGACACAACCAAAAGTGTCTAAAAATATAAAATGGAACTCGTAAAACTATTGGGCCTGAGTTTTTATTTTGAAATGTACAATCAATGCAGTAAGCAAAGTCCCATTTCAAAAATGGACCTATGTACTCACATAGATTAATAACAATACAGATTGAACACTAGATGTCGTCTTTTCAAGATTTAAGAGTTTTTCGTTCACAATCACCCTGACGCCAGGGCCCTAAGGAGTTTCGCGCATGCAGCGTTAAATATCCTTTGGGCTCCTGCCTCAGGGTTATTGTAAATGAAAAACCTCTAAATCTTTAAAGACGACATGTAGTGTTCTATCTGTATTGTTAATTAATCTATGTGTACAATAAACGAAATACAGCAAGTGTGCAGTAGACATATGTAACACTGCACTAGGACAATTATAAAGCTGATTTAAAATTTTTACTAATGCATAACAGTAAAACTATAATTCTCTTGAAAATACATGAAACACACATACTAATAATTTAATTTCGTCATATTATTTTAAATTTTTATGAGTCCCACTGTATGTGAGTTATGGTTGAATGCATTTAAGAAATCCAAAAATAGATTTGATACCTGATAAGTGTTTGAGAGCTGTTGTAGATTAGTTCTTGTTTTTACTATTCGAAGCTTCTGTTTCTGAAGCTTCCAAAGCAGCTCGTAGTCCTTCTTGCAGAGAGCAGCTCTACTTCTAGCCGTAGTGTTCAATTATTGGATTTTTAACTTCTTAAGAAACTAGGGGTTTAGAGCGCTTCGCACCCAAGTTCATCATATTTTGATTTTCAAAATGTTATGAAAAACAAATTTTTTGGAGACAAACTTTTAAAATTCTGGGGTCATGTAAGTTGCATGAAAAATATTGGGTCATTTGTTTTCTCGTTTATTGGATACAATAAAACAAACAAACAGACAGATTCCCAAGCAAAGTATATATATATAGATGCAAGGAGAATTGAATAAAAGGAGGGGGTGATAGGGTTTCCGTCATAGAGAATAGAATATATATTAGAGGTGAATTTAAAGAATCTCTCGGTATGAATTTTTTCAGTCCCTTTCAGACTAAAAGGGAATTCAAAGTGTACAAATCATGTAAATGTTCACAAATTATATGCAGTAGAGTACATTAATACAGTATGTTCCCTAGACTATCCATTTCAATTTCGAATTTTTTGAAGCTGTTAATTAAATTTTATAAAATGAATCAGGTGAATAAAAACATCATTTGATTTAGAGTTATAACGGAAAATCATCGTTTGTAAAGTAAAAGGCATAGAGTCTATGTGAAATGATCATTGGTCAATTATGAAACCAGCCTATTTAATAAGTTGGTTTTCTTTTAATATTAATTTTAGATTTTTTTTATAAAATGATGGGCCAGGGCCCAAAAGATTATATAGCGCAAATATGTGAAGTACACCTGCAGTATGGAAACAGTACAACAAAATGGCCGTTTTTTCTAGTAAATTCCACTCTAATATATTTATTCTATTAATTCTATTCTCTTTGGTTTCCGTACACTTTGCTGTGACGTTTTTGGACTGCTGAAGAACTAGTTTTTGCGTAACAACAATAACAAACATGTTAGTAAAGGTGAATCTTCATCTAACGCCAGAGATGCTCCAGATGTTTGTTTATCATTTGTGTTATTGTTTACAATCTTTATTATTGTTGGTACGCAAAAACGTCACAGCAAAGTGTACGGAAACCCAATCGCCCCTTCCTTCTATTCAATTCTCCTTGTATAATCGTCCCCTCCTTCTATTCAATTCTCCTTGTATAGATGTATGTACGTTTCTGACAAAGGAACATTAACCTAGCCTGTTTTAAAATATTTGATCAAACAGGATTCATGGTTTGAAATATATACAAGACATCAAATAGATTCTAGTCAAAGAGAATAGAATACATATTAGAGTGGAATTTAGACAATCCCTCGGTATGAATTTTGTCAGTACCTTTCAGCCTAAAAGGGAGTTCAAAGTGTACAAATCATGTTAATGTTCACAAATTATATGCAGTTTAGAGTACAATAATACAGTATGTTCCCTAGACATTTCAATTTCGAATTTTTTAAAGCTGTTAAATAAACTTTATAAAATGAATTAGGTGAGTAAAAAACATCATTTGATTTATAATTATAACGGAAAATCATCGTTTGTAAAATGAAAGGCATAGAGCCTATGTGAAATTATCATTGGTCAATTATGAAACCAGCCTATTACATAATTTGGTTTTCTTAATATTAATTTTAGATTTTCTATAAAATGATGTTCCAAGGCCCAAAAGGTTATTTAGCGCAAATATGTGAAGTACACCTCCAGTATGGAAACAGTACAACAAAATGACCGTTTTACACTTTTTTCTAGTAAATTCCCCTCTAATATATATTCTATTCTTATTGATTCTAGTACAATAGATGGCAACGTAGAATGTGTACACTCTCAGTACAGCTGTTTTCTGACGTCACAAGAGACAATTCAGTTTGAGCGTCCGACAAAATTGTCCATAATACTGATTTTGGAATAAAGTGCTTATTTTACAGTAAAATAAGTGCAATTTTGTGTTCTCTTTTTTCTGCTTTTACACTTTTTTATTTAATCGTGGAAAACATGTCAACTAATGTGAGAAAATTTCCTTTTCCTTGTTATGTTTGACACTTGTGACGTCGTGTATAATTTTTCCATTTCTCTGTTGCCACCTATTGTACTGATAATCTATTAGCAAGACATAGGTTAAAAAGATATGAGAATTAGAAAACCAGAATTTGAGACGAGTCAGGACATCAGATATTATTCTGCTGACCTTTCCAATATTTGGTTTGAAATCTGCAAAACTCCTTTCTCTTTCTTCTCATCTGCGAGACAGCCTACACGAATTTGAATATTTTTAACATTAAAAAATACAATTCAAAAACAAAAATGAATAAAGATACTTTCCATTGCAGGTGCAGGTAAACTCCCAAACTTGACTGCAAAGTAAAATAAGATTTTAGAAAGAGGATAATTTGTTTTCTGGCTGATCATTGAAAAAATATTGACGCGAAAATTTTGAAATCTAGGAATAGCCAAAAATTAAAAATTATGTATAAAATAAGGATAGCTCCGTCATTCATGATCACTGTACAGTTTGCAATTATAAAATTATTAAATACATTTGTTCCTTCACCTTAAAAGTGTTTTTCTCTGTGTTGTACTGAGAAGAAAGGATTGATTTTCGATGTAGTTTACTAAACAAAACTGTTGCTTACAAAATCTTACTATTTCTTTTTATTTGTAGAATCCGATTACATTGACGTTGGTGATTGCGCTCCACAATAATCCACAGGAGCAATTTTACATTCTTTTATCGCGATTTTGTGCATTAAATCAAAAAAGTGGATGTAATCTAAAAAATAATTGGACAAATCCATTTCCTATTGAGAAATAATGTTTGAGTTTGAAAATTGTTTTAAATTAATAATTTTAGAAAATATTTCTACACCTGTTATTTCTGTCTGAGGTTGAATATCTATAATTGCTCTGACCTCCATGTTCTTATTACTTCCCCCTATGCAACCCCAAGCTAAAAAAATACTTTTTCACTTTTTTAGATTCTGACCTAACCTCGCACGCAAAAATATTAGAATATCAAAAGTCAAATGACTAAAACTCTTAAATTTAAAATGAAAAGTGTACGCTAGGATTTACTTTTTAGATATACTTTCTGCTTTTATATTTAATGTACGTAAATACATGTACATAGTTGTAAAATGCTACTTGATTTTTATGTACATATGTTCATCTTTGTTCTTGAAATATTTTTAGGGCCTTTTTAAAATATATCAGCATCATTAATTAATAAACAGGAAGAAAGAAGACGACAATCACTCAACTAGTCTCTGATTACCACTGTATCTACCTGCTGAAGGTGAACATGAATGGTTGATGAAGGATAGATTAGAGAATACACAGAAAATGTCGTCTTCCATTTGAATTCCATTTTTTAGAAATATTCCTTTAAATTGTTCCACAGTGTCTCCCTGGAGAAAAGTATTTCAATATTTGTTTTCTCATTCTTTAAAAAAAAGTGAGATTCAGAAAATTAGTTAATTAATTAATAGGAAGACTACTTTTAGACCTAAGTACAGTCCACTGTACAAGAGAGACAGCGGCTAACCACTGTATGTAGGTTGTTAAGATTAACTAAGCCTGATAATAAGAAAATTTACCCCGCTCAAGTTTAGGAATTGTTCTTGCTTCTTTTTGTCTAATTTTTCAACAAGAGTTCTAAAATAATGCAAATATTTTACGAACATTTATTTAAAATCTTTTCATGAATCAAAAGTTTATTATCTGGGACCAGTTCACTTACTTGGGAAATATCCGGGTAAACTATTTAGCTTATTAGCTATTGATTAGTATTGTTAACTTACTTTTCTCCAAGGAAAAATAAATTACCCAAATAAGTGAACGGTCCCTTTAAATCTTGAAACATTAAATACAATTTTAAGTGGAATCAGCCATATTTGAGCCGTGTCTCAAATTTAAGCCGCTGCTCAAATACTTGTGGGTTATTGTAAACGAAAAACCCCTAAATCTTGAAAAGACGACAGTAAGTGTTCTATCTGTGTTGTTATTAATCTATCAGTTTTTTAAATTTATAAATTAAATTTTCAAGAAATTTTTTGTTATTTCCCTTATTCCAGAGTCCGTCCTTTCAGCAGAACATACAGAAAAAAGAGCCCTAGACAGAATATTATTATTTTTACATATTGTTTTTAGCATTTAATAATAAAAGTTTTCTTGAAGTAGTTTCAAAAACTATAGAGTAAAATAAAAAACAGTCATTTTTTTCCTGTTAATTGCATAATTTCGCTTAAAGGAATTTTATCTGGCCCATTTTTAGAAATATTTTAGTTGTAACAATTACAAACCATCAAAACATTGCTTGAGAAAAAGAAAGATTGAAGAAGACATTTATTCCAAAGTTTACTGGTATCCACTGTGTACAATTTCAAAATAGATTTCTAAATACTTTCCTATCTTTTAGAATAAGTTCTCCTTTGCGGATTAGACGAGTAGAGACTGAATAAAAATAATAAAACAATAATTTTCATCTTTATAAAAGCACATCCTATCTATTTATAGCGAAGGTTATGCGTTTTCAGATTATATTTCGTCCCCAGTTTATAAGCCCTGCAAAACAAAATAATAATCTAATAAATAGTAAATAAATTTATGGAAGACGATGTCAAAAAATAAATTTATGGAAGACGATGTCAAAAAATAAATCCACAAAAATCTGAAAATGTTTTTATTTTTGAACCTAATCCTCGTCCCCTACCAGGAATATCCTAAAACAAAATATAAAAATATTAAAATATTTGATAAATTATTTGAAATTTAGAATAAATCTTTGATTTGCATGTCCCTCTGCTGATGATAGGAATAGATTACAAAAATGGGGGGGAGTTGAGCTTTTTTTCATAAAAAAGTTAAATGAGGAATTAATAAAAAATTGCAAGGAAAGAAATTTTCTTTTTAAACCTTTATCTGATTTACGAAAACGAAGATTGTCGTTTTCTTCCCTTAAAAAAGAAAATTTCTTTTATCTAATTTTCTAGTCTTTACTGCATAAATACAAAAGTGGTTTTTGTCGAAAATCATGATTTAAAATTTAAAATTTCAAGCTGGAACATCTTCCTTGATATTTGTTTTCAGGGTAATGTTCTTGTCAATTTAAGAAATTTGAAATTAACTTTATAAATATTCTTTTATTGAGCTTACCTGTTTAGAAAATGCTATTTTATTCTTTGAATTTAGATTTTTCTTGGAATTCATTTTCTATCTAGAAATATTTTTTATTATTAAATTAAATTGATTTGATTTAGAGACTAGAGTGGAACTAAAAAGAACTTTCTATTATAAAAAAAAACTCGATTAGGACGGAATATTTGTTTGGACTAAAGTTGAGCTGGATATCCAATGTGGGAACTCCTATTTTCAAGGATAAATGCTTGATCCCTTAATTAAAGTTATCCATCACGGGACATCGAAGAGTTATTGAATGAATCCGTAGAATTCATCAAATGTTGTATTCTTCACTTTCTGATAATGGAATGTTGCAGAGATTAGTTTTTCAATTAAATGATTATATGGAACTCTTTAAAACTTTTCCTGCATATTCATTGCTATTTATTTATTTTTGCAAATACTGAAATTTACCTAAGATAGTATAAAACTCATTGTCAAATGTATTCGTTATTAAGGGTTTCACTGTAGGATATCGAAGAGAAATTGTAGTAATCCATAAGTTGGAGATTAATGCTTTGATCCTTAGATTTACAAATTAAAAGTTTTGACATCTTGGGGTTGGAACTTTTGTAAAGGATTAAATATCGGTAATCTTGAACATTTGATCTCGATATTTAATGTGGGTACTGGTAGGCTTGAGGATCCATGTTCTGACTTCCAATCACTGACTTGTGTTATCATTGAGTCAGACTTAATAACAAGTACAAAAGTTTTCTTTGATACGATTGAATATAATGTCAAAATAACATTTTTATTTTTAAAATAAAGCTTCTAATTTGCAATGGTCTACAGTAGTAGGCGATTATATCAATAGAATTAAGACGACTTTTTTATTTAAGTTTTGAATATTAACAAGCTTTATTTTGAATTACAAGTTTACAAGAAATCGAAAAGTAATTAAAGAGACGCTTTTTTATTTGACAGCTTCTCTTGAATTCTATGTGTGTATTTGTATCCATGCTGCTAAACAGCTTGATATAAATCAAAATTGAAATCGAAAGTCGTCTTCATTGTATTGATATAATCGCCTACCAATGTACTTTTAAGAAGGATTATACAATTTCGATATTTACTTTAAGAAAATAAATAATCTTATTTGAATCCATGTTCAGAGATTACTGATTTAGAATTTAGGATTTGAAATATTGTCATGCTTTCGTGATACGGGGTTGGACTTCTAATTGGGCGTTCATGCATTTACTCTTACTGACATCCTTCTAATTTACATTTGATCAAAGTATATTTATTCAATACTAAACTAAACTAAACTTTTTCTTTTTCATCTTTTTAGTTAAAAATTGAATTCTTATTTTTAACTTAACTAAACTCTTGATATTTCAGACTTTTACTTTTCGATCTAGTGAAGAATTCATAGTTTTGAGTTTCTCCACAAAATCAAATTTTCCTATCCATATATCTGTGCAACCTGATGGCGTAATCCTTTGGTGTTTACTACTAAAGCTCTTTAATTCATAGTTTGAAATATCAAAGGTCTACGACATCATGGATTGCAAAGATATAGGGATTAAAACATCAGAGTTTTGGCAAAAACTCAGTTCCACTGTTTTAATCAATGATATCTTTAAGCCCTCCCCCCCCCTCCCCATCTTTTTCATCTTAAATGAATGTATGTTTTTCCTTTAAACTAATTCAATTGAATTGAGATTTTGTTTCAAATATTTCAGTCTAAGAATTCAAAACAGTAAACATATAAAAACATTTATTTTAAAATGCATAGAAAACACTGGAATCAACACAAAAACAAAACAAACGTACAGATTGTTCAAATTTTTAAACAATAAAAAATACAAATACAAAATACAAAATACAAAATCAAAGAATTAATTGTTACCGTCTTCAGTTGTATTTAATGCAATTATGAAAAAAAAATAATAAATAAAATTAAAATAAAAGAAAACTGTTCAACCCCCAATTGCAAAGAAACCTTCAAATCACTTGCAAATTAATTGAGTCTTTGCCACAAAACTCATATATTCTAATCCCTACGTCTTTTGTAACCCAATCGAATTCTGTTATATATCTTATAATCTACGTTTGAAATATCAAACATTCACACTATAAGGTTGCAAAGATATAGTGATTTAAAATTTGAGTCTGTGGCAAAGATTCAATTCCTTTTCAGACCTGTTCATTGTTTTTGTTTTATGTTGTATAGAATCTTGTAATAGTAAAGCTAAAAATTTTTCACGAAAGAGAGATACGAAGCTAGGCCAGTATAATAAGTGTATACAATACATCACATTCTATTCTGTAAGAAGACAATATGAAAACTGTACTCCTCGAAGTATCCCTCTCCCTTGTAATCCTGAACTATGCTTTTACTTTATATTTACTTGCTTTCTTTTCCTTACTTCGCCTGTATTAACACCCTAGAAATCTTTCAAGGGATTGTTCATGATTTATTGGTTGTTTGTTCTGATCTATTTGCTGTGAAACTTTGATTTGTATCGCGGGAATGAACTAAGTGACTTTAAGTATATTGCAAAGGAGTTGAGTCTTTGCCACAAACTCAAATATTTTAATCCCAATATCTTTGCACCCTGATGGTGTATACCTTTGATATTTCAAACTTAGAATTTTAGATCTAACAGAATTCACAGTTTAAAATATCTAAGGTCTACGACGTTATGTTGCAAAGATATAGGGATTAGAAAACTAGAGTTTGTGACAAAGACTCAATTCCTTGACATGGATTAATAAAAAATAGATTTTGAGACGCGAGGAACCAGTTTCTTGCATAGAGTAGAGAATGGTCTTTTGTAGCACTAGTAGTGAACATTTAAGAAAAGAAAAGCAATGACAAAATTCTCAAAGATATTTGCGTGACAGTGGGGAAGTACCCCTGTGCACCCCCTAGCCACCTAGAGCCAAAGGCAGGATCGATCTAATATATTAAACTTATATATTAACATTTTTTTCTTTTTTTTTTATCCAATTCTTTCTTGTTCCTTAATCTTATTTACAATATTTTGTTCGCGGGGTTGCATTTAAAATCCATTTCAGTCTCTCAGAGCAAGATGATTGACGCAAAGTTTTATTAAGCTTTAAATAATGCTTCTCCAGTGTAATCTAATCATAATATGATTGATATTGATATAATTTATGATATATGATATACTCAAAAAAATAAAATATATTTTCTAAAAGTTTTTTGCTCTTTCACTACTAGATTTTATAATGGTATGATTGGTAATTATGGTCGGATGATTAATGCAGATTTTAAGCTGTTTTTCTTAAAACAGAGTTTTCAGGGTGGGGGGGGGGGGGCATAAAAAAAATTTGCCGCGCGCTAAAAGTTAAACCGCCCCCCCCCCTACGCTAAACCTTCCTTACGCCCCTGCACAGAGAGACGTGAAAAGAAAACCCGATCTAAAAATTATTTCTAAAATCTTAAATGTTGTCGCCCGAAGAATATAAAAAAATTGTGAGTCTGAATAAACATGGAAATGTGGACTAAAAATATCCTAACAACTTTATTCAACGTATTACATCATAAATACCAATTAGATGGAGAGAGAGAGAGAGAGAGAGAGAGAGAGAGAGAGAGAGAGAGAGAGAGAGAGAGAGAGAGAGAGAGAGAGATTTTAAGTATAGATAAAAGACTTGAAACATTTATTAAACCAGTTTAAGAACCATCCCCAGTGAAAACATTTACACATATAATGTTATTTAAATTTAATACACAAACTGAACATCATATATTCCCTGTGTATATTTGTATACTAATCTAAACACTCTGTAGGTATAGTGCAGTACACTAGGTAGGTACAATACAGTACAATACAGTACAGTACAGTACAGTACAGTACAGTACAGTACAGTACAGTACAGTACAGTACAGTACAGTACAGTAAAGTACAGTACAGTACAGTACAGCACAGAACAGTACAGTACATTACAGTACAGCACAGTACAGTACAGTACAGTAAAGCACAGGACAGTACAATACAGTACAGTACAGTACAGTACAGTACAGTAGGTAGGTACAGTACAGTGCAGTACAGTAGGTAGATACAGTACAGTACAATACAGTACAGTACAGTAGGTAGGTACAGTACATGGAAATCAAGTCATAAAAATTATTTTCTTTTTTTTGTTAATTATTTAATTAAAGGTAAAAATAAAATAAAAACTGTGTACAACTCCAAAGCGTTCCAAATTCGGTTTACTATATATCAATTTGTGGAAATGTGGACAATTTTCGGTAATATATTGAAAATAATAACATGGGCGATAGGGATTGTTAGCCTCAAGCTCTAATTGCTAAGTACTAAATGTAAGTCCAAACCTTAACCTTTCATTTAGAAGCATTTATGGTTGAACGTATCAAAGGTTTTCAACATCAGATTACCAAGATATTGGAATTCAACAAATTTGAGATTTAGGCTTAGTTTCTTTCTATAACTATCCCACCGAATTTTCAGGATACAAAAAAAGGCAAACAAGATCCACTTGCGGATTTGGCGTGCCAATGATAATCATTCAGGGGGGATTATAGTTCTCTACCTGTGTGCTCAGAGAGTAGAAGAGATCTTTTTTTGTTCCTATAGGAATTGAGTCTTTGCCACAAAATCTTTGGCCTTGGATATTTCGAACAATGAATTCCATCATATAATTTAAAGGGACTGTAAAGGAAAAATGAAAGGGATATAGACTGTAACCTGAGAATCTCAGGAGTTTAACGACACCTATAAGACATCTATGATGTTCCTGTCTCGAGAAATTGATGTACAACTGTGTCAAAATTATACCAAAACGTATATATGTAAGAAATACGTCCGTATCACATGACCAGAACTCCCTCCAATGGCTATGCAGAATACTAGTCATGTGATACAGACGTAGACATGTGACAACAATACTGCCTGCCATTGGTTAGAGTTATAGTCACTTGATTCGGACATATAAATAATGTTCTCAATTATATTCATTAAAAATAAAAAATATTAGATTCAAATAATAATAGGAGCAGACCTGGGATATAGTCGTTTTCAGATTGGTTGCGTATTTGTTAAATATGATCTGTAATTAATACTAGGAATCTTACACAAAATCTTTAATATATACATTTTGATATAATTTGGACACAGTTTTATATTAATTTCTCGAGACAGGAACATCAGATAGAACTCTAATAGGTCTCGATCAACTCCTGAGATTCTCCCTTTAATTTTTCCTTTACAGTCCCTTTAAGTTTGTAATAACAAAGGTTTACATTATCAGGTTGTGAAGATAAAAGGATTAGAAAACCTGGCATGAAGAGTCAATTCCATTATTTTAATTCTGTAATTCTTGAACTAATAAAAGTAAATGACAAATATCAATTTTTTTAAATATTAAGAAATAGATAAATGTTTGGAATAAAGAATACAGTTCTGAGAAGCACTGTATGCATGGATAATTTCTCAAGGAAAAGGAAGAAACAAAATAATCACATTTTCTTTCAATGTATAAAAGTAAAAGTGCATACAAAATCATCTTGAGCGCTTTGCGCTCCTCATATTTTATTCTGGACTTGTTTCGTCTCGTGACTTGGTTCGGTTTTTCAAAACTTTTACATTTGCTTTTTGCACACTTCTTCAAACTTTAACTCTGAGAGAAGATACATGCAAAAAACCAATCAAAAATTATCGTTTTTTTGTCATTTTTTTTATAAATATGTAAACTTTAGCAGAATATAGTTTTGGTGCAACCTTTTTTTCGTAACATTATTATATGGTGCACTTTAAAAGTTCAAAAAGCTTAAAAGTTTTTATATTTTGACTCTGAAGCATATTTAAAAGAGATGGGGTAGGGATGGGCAAAGATTGATCCGTCTTTAAGCATTACATTTTTTTTACATTGAAAGGCTCCATCACAAGCATCTGGATTTGATTTCTAATAAATTGGAAGAATGGAAAAGGTGTAGATGCCAATCGTTTAAAATTGTTATGGTTTTATCATTGGTAACACTAAAATTCAGCAAAATCTAAGTATAATACTAAAAACTTTCAATATTAACTTATTATTGTGTCTCATGATCATTAGACAATAAAAGTCTTAAGTTAAGTCTAAACGGAGTTTTCCTGTTCCAGAGTTTCCGTACACGATCCTTATAGGACAAGTAAAACTATTTTAATGTGTAAAATCTCTGGCTATGAACACACTTATAGAATATTTCCTTCTATCCTGATTCTTGATACATTACATTTTTCAAGAATTTAAATTTTCATTTTGTTTGATCTTCCTTGTGTTAAGGAATTTGAGTGTCCTAGTACTGAATGCTGGGAGTTCAAGTATCAAGTTTCAAGTTCTAGATACAAGTACAGGGGAACACAGGGTCAAGGGGTTAGCTCAGAATCTTAACAAATCTAAGGAAACTAGAATCATAACTGATAAATATTTTATTATCATGAAAGTTGATTATGTTACAAGAATCCCCTTTCATCTATTCGGATCGTAAAATAATCAATTTAATTCCAAACAAATCATTCAGATATGATAACCAATAGTCATCGATTATTTTTCGACGCATTCGTATATAGTTAAAATTTCATAATATTTTTTATTCTGTTTTTTAAATAATTTTTCGCTGGCGCTGAATTTTCGAACATTCCTGGAAAATATGAAAATGTCGTCTTCATTATCAAAAACACAACTTTTCAGCTTAAACTCGCATTATAAGTGTCCATCTTAGTTTAATCTTGACGTGGATATTTATGATTGGTTGGAGTACAGGGAGAACTGGTTTGGAGCAGGCAAGGGAAGCAGAAAACTAAAAGTACTCTAGAGAATACTGATCTTGAAACTGTTTTAGAACAGGACCGAATTTGATGAATTTAAACCATCTGTCATAATCTTTTTAATCTTTATCTTTGAATAGGTGGTTCAAATATTTGAGCCAGCAGTCATGATAGTTCAGCAACGAAGCTCAAATGTATTCAATTCGGTCCCAGGTTTTAAAGATTGTGTCGACAGAATCTATTGATCTTATTGGACACAGGAATATCATTAAAATCGTTAAACTTTAACAACAAAGTAAAGCTAAAATTCTTTTAAAGGTCAAAGGAATTGAGTCTTTGGAACAAATACCAATTTTCTAATACCTGCATGTCTACAAATTATGTAAACCTTTGATATTTCAAACTTTGATTGTTTTATATAACAGAAGTCATAGTTTGAAATATCTAAGGTCTACAACATTGGATTGTTAAGATATAGGGATTTAAAAATCAGTGTTTGTGGCAAAGACTCAATTCCTTTGTGTTACAGTTAAATCTCCTCAATTTAAAAATATTTGCCTGAAAACACTAGTAAACAATATCAAAAAAAAAAAAATATTTTTCACTAATTCTATAAAGGTGTATTGAATCACATTTTAACACCTGAAAACATTTTTTTACAAAAAAATATTGGGGAAAAGAATATATTTCACTAATTCTAAAAATTAATCATATTTTAATTCTTTTATAAGAGTTGTCCATGGAGGAGAAAAATATACTTTACCCACTAAACTGAATAAGGTAAAAAACTGCAGCATATATTTTTGGTCAAGTTTTTGCCTCAAACTGAAATTTTCTAATCCATTGTATCCTTATTGTTAAAACCTTTGATATTTTAAAATTAAAGGATTTGAACTATAAACATCGGGTAGCTAAGATATGGGCGTTAGAAAGTCAGAGTTTGTGAAAAAGACTCAATTACTTTGTTTCATTATTGTTGGGTCTGAAAGAACGGTTATATATATGAACAAAAAGTTGACTTTCATAAATCAATACAATTGTCAATTTGTTAGTAAAAATATATTCCGGCGATGAAGTATTTGCGTACAGCTTTTCATAAATCGTAATTAAGGATAGCATTTTCTTTTTCAATTAGAAACAATTCAGGATGTGGTGAAAAATCTAAAATATCTGTCTAAGCTGGCGCCTCTTCACAACCCAGCTCAACTAGCAGTCATTGAGCACATGCTGGATATCTTTGGTTTGGTGCCTCAGGCCGCCATCTTTGATACAGCTTTCTACTCGAGAGTTCCGCCACATGCGTTTATGTATCCTGTTCCATACTCATGGTATTCTCAGTACGGAGTCAGAAAATATGGTTTTCATGGAATCAGGTAAAATTAAGTCCATGATTTTTTAAAATTGATTTTTAACCTTTTTAAGCATAAAAAATACCCACAATTTTTTCACTCTGGCAGTCTCCATAAATATATTATTAATTTTACCAATACTTGACTGTTTGATAATAACAAAAGGTGTTAATTTTTAATTAAAGTAATCACGAACATTTAAAAACTACAAACTATCGACGATAATGAAATAACGCGAATATTTAGCCATCAGTATATAACCGAGGAAGCAGCAGTGCTACTAAGCAGACCTTTAGCTTCTCTAAACATAGTCAGCTGTCATCTTGGAGCTGGATGCAGTGTAACAGCATCAAAAGGTAAATTTATATCTTGAAATTGTATTTTTTAGTAAACAATTGGATACAACAATACAGGAGTTTTCAAAATACTTCTAAAGCTAAAGATAGAACTAAAAAACACAAGTCCTTTACAAGTGTTACCTTTAGAATATTTATGATCAAATTAATATTATTTAGATTCTGTGCTTCTTTTATTTTTACAGCATAATCTTTTTATAGAGACTGTAAGCGTAATTTCAGGAGACTCTTAATGCTAAGATATCCTATTCACAACGGTCCTCTTAAAAAGTTTGTCCAATAGTATGAAATATGATAACAATGTTTTGAAAACTATCGATTGTATATATAAGTTTCATACAAAAATGAATTGCACATTTCTACTACAAGAAAATATCAAGGAATTATCACTATTAAACACTTTTAATACTGGAAAAAACGAGTGCATATCTTCCAACTGTTGAAGAGAAAACGGTTCCAAGGGTATCCTTGTGAATCGAATACTGCCTTCTTTGCATTGAGGGTCACTTGAAATATAGCTTACAGTCCCTTTAATTTCAATCCATTAAGGAGGAGTAGGGGTAGACACCAGTATGGGATTCTCCCCCCTGTCAGGGATCATGATGGGATCAAGATCAGGAGATGTGGATCCAACTGTACTCTTGCATATAGGAAACATATCATTTAAAGGGAGTGTTCACGATAAATGGAAGGGGGTACAGACTGTCCTGAATTATACTTCTATCTATAAGGCGCAACAGATAGAAGTAAGATTATGAGCCATCAAAACCAAATTCAATTCGAGATTAGCAGATACCCCCTTTTATTTTTCGAGAACGCTCTCTTTAAAACATAAACATATTATTGTAAATGAAACCAAAAGTGAGCTGAAGGATTTTTTACTTTCTACAGTAACATATATTTACACTGTGCTCATGATTTATAATGATATTGTTAATCTTCTATAGCTGGTGAAACTGGAAGAACAATGAGTAGCATTTTGGAGGAGTTGAATTCTAATTCAGGATTTAAGGAATATACAATAATTTTATATACAAATCAACTAAAACAATAAAATATTAATAAATTTCAAATTTTATAGTTTTTTGAATGTTAAAATGCTAAAAGTTGAAATTCCTCAAAATCATATTGGGAACTTGTGTGATCATCTTCTAGTGCCTTAATATTTTTTTTCATCAAAATTATATGTGGAAAAAATAGAACAAAAAGTGAAAACTTGCCATAAATTCTAGTTTTTTAGTCTCCAGATCCTTGCATCTTAAGATGTTGTAGACTTTAGCTCTCTGAAGTCCTGCGCGCGGATGTTATTGTTTAAAATTGTTAAATTTTCCTGATTGTATTTGTGTATGTAGGGTATAACGGGTACGCCAGATTCTATAGAAGTTGAACACATGTTCCATCAGGAAAATCCTTGTAACATTTTTTTTATGACACAAAATTAAACTATATTTACTTGTTTCATAGTAAAAAGATAATAATTTATAGGTCAGCCAAGTTCATAATTAGAAAAAAATATAAACAGAATCAAATTTTACATATAAGTTTTTTTTCAAAAATTTTTTTTTTTGGTTAAGTTGCAGAATAATAAAAGCCCATTCTCTATTAACAGTTAAAAGAAATATGTTTTTTGTTCATTAAGAAAGGAATTGAAACTTTGTAACAAACTCTGATTTTCTAATACCTATACTTTTCCACTTGATGGTGTAACATTTGATATTTCAAACTTAGATTCTTTCATCTAACAGAATTCATATTTTGAAATATCTAAGGTCTACGGCACACTTCTGTATGTATGCCAAGTCCATTATCCATTCAGGGTTCAGTCTGTTTTGTTGTCTATTTTGAACCAATAGAAATAGTATGGCGGTAACATCTATCTTTCTATCTATCTCATTATCCATCCAGAGTTATGAATCCGTCAATTGGCGCTTTTAATAAATGGAAATATTTATTTCTATTGAAACTAAAGTGGGCATTGGGTGCAAAGATATGGAGATAGAAAATCATAGTTTGTGACAAAGACTTAATTCCTTTTTAACACTGAATTTATGACTTAAATCAAACAAAGATTTCATTTTTACAATTGTTTGGATTAGAATGAGGAGAAAGGAATATTAGCTGTAGACATGTTTGGATATAATATAGCAAAATATATTGCATCATTCTTAGTTCCACTAGGTTTTAAACACTTGAAAATATATTGCATCATTCTTAGTTCCATAAGGTTTAAAACACTTTTAAAATATATTGCATCCTTCTTAGTTCCACTAGGTTCAAAACATTTAAAAATATATTGCATCATTCTTAGTTTCACTAGGGTTTAAACACTTAAAAATATATTGCATCATTCTTAGTTCCACTAGGTTTAAAACACTTAAAAATACATTGCATCATTCTTAGTTCCACTAGGTTTTAAACACTTAAAAATATATTGCAACATTCTTAGTTCCACTAGGTTTAAAACACTTAAAAATATATTGCATCATTCTCAGTTCCACTAGGTTTAAAACACTTAAAAATATATTTCATCATTCTTAGTTCCACTAGGTTTAAAACACTTAAAAATATATTGCATCATTCTTAGTTCCACTAGGTTTAAAACACTTAAAAATATATTGCATCATTCTTAGTTCCACTAGGTTTAAAACACTTTAAAATATATTGCATCATTCTTAGTTCCACTAGGTTTAAAACACTTAAAAACATATTGCATCATTCTTAGTTCCACTAGGTTTAAAACACTTTAAGATATATTGCATCATTCTTAGTTTCACTAGGTTTAAAACACTTTAAAATATATTACATCATTCTAAGTTACACTAGGTTTAAAACACTTTATAATATATTGCATCATTCTTAGTTCCACCAGGTTTAAAACAGTTTGAAATATATTGCATCATTCTTAGTTCCACTAGGTTTTAAACACTTAAAAATATATTGCATCATTCTTAGTTCCACTAGGTTTAAAACACTTAAAAATATATTGCTTCATTCTTAGTTCCACTAGGTTTTAAACACTTAAAAATATATTGCATCATTGGTCCACTAGGTTTAAAACACTTAAAAATAAGTTTTTTGGTCATTTATGTTATAGGCCCACTTTCAGTCAGTGGATTTAATATTTTATAGCTTTGTCAAAACGCCTTTGCAAAAGTTGTCCAAAGAAATTTTGCACTCCCTTTAAAGAGAATTTGTACGTTTTCAGTTTTGCTTTAATACACCATTTTACATATTTGAAGGCCTTTTTGGATGAAACCCTTTTTCAGTTTTTTTAAAGATTGTTGAAAACAGTGACTTCAATAAAAGTAAATTTTTAGAAATTGAAATAAATTAGAAAAAATTAATGAGAAGTGTTTAAGGCAGAATAGATGCTCTGGTGTTTAGTGGAGGTATTGGAGAAAATTCAAGTTTAAAGCGGGCAGTCATTATTCAACATCTTAGGGACAAGTTTATTGACTTTATAAGAATACAGAATTGTTGTCTTGACTATATAAGAATACAGAATTGTTGTCTTGACTATATAAGAATACAGAATTGTTGTCTTGACTATATAAGAATAAAGAATTGCTGTCTTGACTTTATAAGAATACAGAATTGTTGTCTTGACTATATAAGAATTAAGAATTGTTGTCTTGACCATATTAGAACACAGAATTTTTGTCTTGACTATATAAGAATAAAGAATTGCTGTCTTGACTTTATAAGAATACAGAATTGTTGTTTTGACTATATAAGAATACAGAATTGTTGTCTTGACTACATAAGAATAAAGAATTGCTGTCTTGACTTTATAAGAATACAGAATTGTTGTTTTGACTATATAAGAATACAGAATTGTTGTCTTGACTATGTAAGAATACAGAATTGTTGCCTTGACTATACAAGAATACAGAATTGTTGTCTTGACTATATAAGAATACAGAATTGTTGTCTTGACACAGAACTGTTGTCTTGACTATATAAGAACACAGAATTGTTGTCTTGACTATATAAGAATACAGAATTGTTGTCTTGACTATATAAGAATACAGAATTGTTGTCTTCACTATGTAAGAATACAGAATTGTTGTCTTGACCATAAAAGAATACAGAATTGTTGTCTTGACTGTATAAGAATTCAGAATTTTTGTCTTGGTATAGCTTTAAAGGATTAACATACAAAATAGTGTCTAATGTATTAACAATTATTTTTTTTTATCCAATCATTCTGCAATGTCCACGAAATACAAAATTTTCAGAACTTTGATAAAATTCTTAAATGGTTAGAATCTTGTTTTTCGACAGTTGTCTAGGCTTTAAATGTGAAACAGAGGCCAATAATAGGTAAGTTCTTTATAATTGTTATCAAAAATAAATATTTTGCAAACGTGAAAAGTCTTTGCCATTTTCTAATCCAAATATCTTTGTAACCTAATGGTATAATCTTTTGATATTTCAAACTTAGATTGTTTAATCTAACTGCAGAATTCGTAGTTTGAAATATATAAGAGTTGAAAAGATATAGGGATTAAAAAATTTAGTTTACGACAAGAACTCGTTACCAAGCATTTATTTTTGGCTGGTTTTGTCTGATTCAAAATTAGATTTGTTATGACTTTTTTAGCTTTGATAAGTTTTGTGAAAATTGAAAGTAGTAAATTTATTTCAATACTAGTCTGTAACACCGCATCGCAACCTCTTTCCTATCAACTTCTTATTGTTGATTTGAAAGTCGCTATTTTAAATTGTTCTCAAATTTTTTTGTACTTACTTTTAAAAATGCGCATTTTCTAAAAAAAACTGTTTAAACTGTCAATTTTTACAGTTCAGAAACCTTCCCGATCGGTTCAGCCGTTCTGACGTTTATTGGTTTCCAACGGACAGACTAATTTGCCAAACTTATTTGAATAGAACATATTTTAGATGTGTACTCGGGCAGGGAGGTTTAATTTCTCCAATAGGAGTTAAACCTTCAGTACTTGTAGTTAACACGGACGAAGAGAAAATTATTGCACAACTTACTCAACAGCTTTATACAGAGAAATCTAATAATTAATTTGTTGTGAACACTTTTTTATATCATACTAGCTTGTTGTCGGATAGCTGCAAGATTCTCAATAATGAACAGTGAGACAACTGGATAACCCTCAAATCGAAACCGATAATGCAGAGAAACTCTTTATTTCCTAAAAAATTTAAATGGATAATAATGCATGAATTTGTTACAAAGTTTTATAATTTTACAATGAAAAAAGTGCCCGGCGGTGCCCGTGTAATTTTTTAAAAATCGAACTTTGAAAAAAATCGATTTTTAGACAAGATTTTATTGATATCTTATAGATTTTTATAGATAAGTTGTAAATCTTTGAGTGTACATTTTAAATAAAGTGTTTCTTATATTTCATGATTGTATCTATCGTAGTTGCTTTTATTGTCAACCTGTTAAATAGGAATTAAATGTTTTGAATTTATAATATATATAAAATACCAGATAAGAGAATCTGAACTTTTGCCACAAACTCAAATGTTTCAATCCATATATCTTTGCAACCTGATGGTGTAAACCTTTAATTGTTCAAACTCAGACTGTTTGCTCTAACAAAATTCATTGTTTGAACTACGAAATCTGGTTTCAAAGATTAGAAACTTCGAGTTTGTGACAAAACTCAGATCCTTTGCTTTTTTAATACTAATACGAAAATTCAATACTGTAGGAGCTGCAAAGTGACAACGTCTTAGCAGAATAATACAATTAAGTCTTTGCCACAAACTCTAATATTTTCATCACATTATCTTTGCAACCCAATGTCTTACAATTTAGATATTTCAAACTATTAATTCTGTTAAGGCAAATAATCTAAGTTTGAAATATCAAAGGTTTACACCAGCAGGTTGTAAAGATATAGGGATTAGGAAAGTTGAGTTTAAATATCCGAATCTAAAGTCGAATTTAAAGAATTTTAGCCGCGGTTTAAATTTAAACCACGATTTAAATTGATGACGCGGCTCTAATATGGTTGGGTCCACTTAAAATTGTATTCAATTTTTCCAGATTTAAGCCAGCGCTCAATTGAAACCGATTTTTGGGGGATTTGAGACGCAGCTCAAATTCATTAAATTCGGACATTGATTAAACTAATTTTCTTTCTTTTATAGGGTAATTTGTTAAATATTTTCATTAGATTATTTTTGTTATTATTTGTAAAAAGTCCTATGTACTTAATCCCCCCCACCATGACCCAAGCAATCTATATTCTAATCCAATTATACCATTGTGAAAGACCATTCACAGTTTCTCTCCATTGTTTATCTTTCTTTGTAAAAGATAAATCTCCATTATCTCCATTATTTCCATTAACAGGAAACCAAAACTAAGACATAGAGATGAAATGAAGGGGTTTTTAATAAATATCAATATAGATAAAAAAGATATCTAGACATATATACAGACAGAAAGATAGACAGATAAACAGATAGACAGATATTTAGACATATAGATAGATAAAAAAAACTACACGGATAGACAGATAGACAGAAAGACAGGCATACAGACAAAAAGATAGATAGACAGATAGATAGACATATAGACAGACAGAAAGATAGATATTTAGACAGACAGACAGATAGACAGATAGAAAGATAGACAGATAGATCGAAGGACAGATAGACAGATAGACCGAAAGACAGAGAGACAGATAGATATATAGACATACAGACAGATACTAGATAGATAGATAGTCAGATAGATAGATAGATAGATAGACAGATAGACAGACAGACAAATACTAGACAGATAAATGAACAGATAGACAAATAGACATTTAGACAGTTAGACAGTTAGACAGATAGATTGTATCGTAAAATAGAAAAATGTATACATCATCATTTGTAAATATAATAAATATTTTTGCAGACCAATATATTTAATAAATAGGGTCCTGCACTTTTTTATATGCTTGAAACTGAAAATGTTTAACGGTGAATTGTCGCCACATTGTGGGATCAATTTTGACCCAGAGTATGATGATTCAGAAATTTGAAGCCAATTTACTCTATAAATATGTAACGATCTAGGTCCCGACTAGTCTCTCAATACTTGACTCTAACTCTAATAACAAGTCTATCCCGACTCTATCTCTAGCCAACCCTGGCTCTATACGTCTGTCTAAAGCAACGATTGATACTATACTAATTTATTGATACAGGTAAATATAGATTGACCGGACTGACCGGTCAGGGTCAAATCAAAACATAGACAATAAAGATAGTTGAACTACACATAATCCCCTAAATTTATTAAAAATATAAGGGAATATCAATTTTCTTTTTCTTCACAGATCTGAAATTTAAACGAGCATTTATAATTTAGAGAAAAAAATCCTAAAACTTGGAAATTTGCTGGGTCAAATTGGCCCCATCTTGGTCCCATGAGGGTCCTTTAGTGCGATAAAAATAGCTTGTCCTATTAGGGTCCTTTAGTGGGATAAAAATAGCTTGGTCCCATGAGGGTCCTTTAAAGTGCGATAAAAATAGCTTGGTCCTATGAGGGTAATTTAGTGCAATAAAAATAGCTTTGTCCTATGAGTGTCATTTAGTGCGATAAAAATAGCTTGGTCCTATGAGGGTCATTTAGTGCAATAAAAATAGCTTGGTCCTATGAGGGTCCTTTAGTGCAATAAAAATAGCTTGGTCCTATGAGGGTCATTTAGTGCGATAAAAATAGCTTGGTCCTATGAGGGTCATTTAGTGCAATAAAAATAGCTTGGTCCTATGAGGGTCCTTTAGTGCAATAAAAATAGCTTGGTCCTATGAGGTCATTTAGTGCGATAAAAATAGCTTGGTCCTATGAGGGTCCTTTAGTGCGATAAAAATAGCTTGGTCCTATGAGGGTTCTTTAGTGCGATAAAAATAGCTTGGTCTTATCAGGGTCCTTTAGTGTGATAAAAATAGCTTGGTTCTAGGGTCCTTTAGTGTGATAAAAATAGCTTGGTTCCATGAGGGTTAAGTTTTGTCTGATCAAGTATTAATTAGATTTCAATATTTAAAATTTAAAACAGTGATTATTTTTAACTTAAAAATTTCTACAAGTGACTGCTGCAGGAAAACATATTGGAATTATCAGAATTAAGCACTTTTAGCCTCAGAAAACCGATAATTTCTTCCACATTATTGACCAGAGAGTGTTTCAAGGGTACCGTTCTAAATCTGGAATTGCAATCTATGCATATTACGCTTACAGTCCCTTTAATCTCGTTGTGTTGGATCAGTTAAAAAAGCTAAAGCCATTTTACCACATAATCAGAATTATATGTGAACTGTTCACTTCTGATGGGTTGAAATACTTTGATCGATCATTGCAAAACTTTTTTTAAATTGTGTTCAACTTTAGTCTACTAATTTTATATTTCCCTTGTATGAAAGAGTTAGGGAGGAAACCCGTTCAACACCTTCTCCCCATCCCCTTTCTAGTTGCACCTCTGTTGTTTGTATATATTATATTTATATATCTTCCATCAATTCTTTTTCAATCTACCCGGCTCAGAGTTTCTCGTTCAGCCTCCAGTATCCATACATATACTACCACTTGTAGACAGTTTACTGGAGTACTCGGAGTAGATAGAACCTTGTGGACAGTTTAGTGGAGTACTCAGAGTAGATAGAACCTTGTAGACAGTTAAGTGGAGTACTCGGAGTAGATAGTACCTTGTAGACAGTTTACTGGAGTACTTGGAGTAGATAGTACCTTGTACACAGTTTACTGGAGTACTTGGAGTAGATAGTACCTTGTAGACAGTTTATTGGAGTATTTGGAGTAGATAGTACCTTGTACACAGTTTACTGGAGTACTTGGAGTAGATAGTACCTTGTAGACAGTTTATTGGAGTATTTGGAGTAGATAGTTCCTTGTAGACAGTTAAGTGGAGTACTCGGAGTAGATAGAACCTTGTAGATAGTTTAGTGGAGTACTCGGAGTAGATATAACCTTGTAGACAGTTTAGTGGAGAACTGGGAGTAGATGAAACGTTGTAGACAGTTCAGTGGAGTACTTGGAGTAGATAGAACCTTGTAGACAGTTTAGTGGAGCACTTTGAGTAGTTAGAACGTTGTAGACAGTTTATTGGAGTACTTGGAGTAGATAGAACCTTGTAGACAGTTTAGTGGAGTACTTGGAGTAGTTAGAACGTTGTAGACAGTTCAGTGGAGTACTCGGAGTAGATAGTACCTTGTAAGCACTTTAGTACTTGAAGTAGATATAATCTTGTATAAAGTTTAGTGGAGTACTTGGGGTAGATAGAGCCTTGCAGACAGTTCAGTGGAGTACTCGGAGTAGATGAACCTTGAAGTCAGTTAAAGTGGAGTACTTGGAGTAGATAGAACCTTGTAAACAGTTTAAGTGGAGTAATTGGAGTAGATAGAACCTTGTAGAAAAATTAAGTGGAGTACTTGGAGAAGATGGAACCTTTTAAACAGTTTAGTGGAGTACTTGGAGTAGATCAAACCTTGTAGACAGTTTAGTAGAGTACTCGAAGTAGATAGAACCTTGTAGATAGTTTAGTTGAATACTTGGAGTTAATATAACTATTTTTAGACAGTTCAGTGGACAACTGTGAGTTTATAGAACGTTGTAGACAGTTTCTTGGAGTACTCGGAGTAGATAGAACCTTGTAGACAGTTTAGTGGAGTACTTGGAGTAGATAGAACGTTGTAGACAGTTTACTGGAGTACTCGGAGTAGAAATAACATTGTAGACAGTTCAGTGGAGTACTCGGAGTAGATATAACCTTCTAGACATTTTTAGGGAGTACTTGGAGTAGATAGAACCTTGTAGACAGTTTACTGGAGTACTTGGAGTAGATAGTACCTTGTAGACATTTTTAGGGAGTACTTGGAGTAGATAGAACCTTGTAGACAGTTTATTGGAGTACTTGGAGTAGATAGAACCTGGTAGACAGTTTATTGGAGTACTTGGAGTAGATAGAAACTTGTAGACAGATTATTGGAGTACTTGGAGTAGATAGAAACTTAAAGACAGTCTATTGGAGTACTTGGAGTAGATAAAACAATTTCTATTCAGGATTAGGCTTAGGAATTTGTACCCATCTATATATATTTGTACCCATCTATATATATTTGTGAAGTAGTAATCTCTGTTAAGGTGTTTGTATGTTATGTGACTAAATTATAAATTTATCATTCTATAAAAATATAGGAAATGAAAACATTCAACTTTTACACGTTTTAAAAGTTTCTTAAACATTTTCCTATGTTGGTATTAATTCTTGGTTCATGTGAAAGCCAGATTCTTAGAAGTAATTAACTCCGTTTACATATCTCATAACTTTAATAATTACAAAATTTTCTTTAATTAAATAAATAATTTTAACCTTACAATTTTTACACTTTTATATAGAAGCTTAAAATATCTTTTGCTTGTGTAGTTAAATTTGTATATAATGAATTGAGTAAGTTTACATTCTATTTTAAAAAGAAATTTTTTTAAATAAAAATAAAAACTTGATTTGAAATATTTTGAACGATTTATATTACGATTATTCTATTTAAACAAACGTTAAGGAAAAATAATGCAATGGAGAATTTCTTTATTTTTAAGTTTAACAAAGTTTTAACTAAATAAGATAAATAATTTTTTAGATTTAAAGGGACTGTACACGTATTTTCAAGTGACCCTCAATTGATAAAGAGATATTCACGATTCAAAATTGTACCTTTTAAACCGTTATCTGATCAACGATGTGGAAGATATCTTTGTTTTTCAGCCTAAAAAATGTTGTGAGAAATCAACACATGTCAAGCTATAAAAACGAAGATATCATCCACATTATTCATGTGCAGATATTGGTTTAAGAGTAATGTTGTTCATCGAGCCTGTCCATTTTTACACTACATTTGTTAAAAACAGCCACTAAAAATTACTATTTAATATATAATTATAAATATTTGATAACACTAGGCTTGCGCCAATCTTCTATTTCAATTGTAAATATTTTCTCTTTGTATACATTGTAAAGCAAAAACTAAAGCAAAAGTTCGCGGATTTTATTAAAAAAATCGTGGATTTTAAAAATTAAATTGAAATTGAATTTTGTTGGAGGCTATTTTTTAAAATTCTGATCCTCCATAAACCTTCCCTGGGGGCATGTGAGGTCCCACAAAAAAATTGGAACGAATTGATTCAGCTGTTTTTACGTTTGTAGGATACAAAAATCAAGTAGATAGACAAGAAAAGTATAAATAAATAGATGTTTAGCTTATTTTGAAGTGTGTTCACATATTGTACAATGTACAATGTACATGGTGTACATTGTACCTAAAAGATTTATGAGTAGTGAATAGAGTTGTTCTATTCTATTCTGGAAGTAAACGACCGGATGTGATAAAGCTGCCCACGTGGGTTTGACCGGAAATGTGTTTATATCTGAAGATGCCATTTCCTCTGCGTTATCAGAATAGAATAGAATAGAATAGAATAGAATAGAATAGAATAGAATAGAATAGAATAGAATAGAATAGAATAGAATAGAATAGAATAGAATAGAATAGAATAGAATACCGACGATTATTTCAGAAAAAAAACTGGTGTTTTTGTGTAGAACATTTTCTGTTAATATTGCAGTTTTACAGAATTTACGATTTCAATTGCCATGTGATTATAATTGAACCCCGTTATTGCGTTTTTGGTGTTACAATTTGTTTCAGCCGTTTCAATTAACTTTTTTCTATTTTCGTTCGTTGGGTTTCATTGAATCATTGAATTTAAAAATCCAACCGGGTTTCAACTTTTTATGTATTAAAGCCCTTTAATTATTAATGAAACCAAAAGAAGCCCATTTTCTCGCACTGATTGATTACAAACGAAAAAAAGATTTGTTAAACTGAGATTAGATCTGAAGCTTTGACTTGGATTGCCTTCTGAATAATTGATCAGCCTGACAAGTCTAGTATTGATTTATCTCAACTTTATCCATTCTAGAAAACTAGAAAACATCTAGAAAACTAGAAAACATCTAGAAAACTAGAAAACATCTAGAAAACTAGAAAACATCTAGAAAACTAGAAAACATCTAGAAAACTAGAAAACATCTAGAAAACTAGAAAACATCTAGAAAACTAGAAAACATCTAGAAAACTAGAAAACATCTAGAAAACTAGAAAACATCTAGAAAACTAGAAAACATCTAGAAAACTAGAAAACATCTAGAAAACTAGAAAACATCTAGAAAACTAGAAAACATCTAGAAAACTAGAAAACATCTAGAAAACTAGAAAACATCTAGAAAACTAGAAAACATCTAGAAAACTAGAAAACATCTAGAAAACTAGAAAACATCTAGAAAACTAGAAAACATCTAGAAAACTAGAAAACATCTAGAAAACTAGAAAACATCTAGAAAACTAGAAAACATCTAGAAAACTAGAAAACATCTAGAAAACTAGAAAACATCTAGAAAACTAGAAAACATCTAGAAAACTAGAAAACATCTAGAAAACTAGAAAACATCTAGAAAACTAGAAAACATCTAGAAAACTAGAAAACATCTAGAAAACTAGAAAACATCNTTTAATTACTCCAGCTCGACAGCAGCAGTGATGTATTGATGCTTCTGTGTAACATGTCTCTGTCTACCAACGGAACAGTGTGTCAAAAAATAATCGTAAAAAAATGATTTTTTTCCATACCTATATTGGTCCATGCAAGTTATTGAGACGTTTTGTTTAGGAGATTTTCTCAATAGTTTCTGTTCTATCATTTTTTTGGAACGCCCTTCTTCTTGTAAACAGTTAACAGTAAAGGAAAAAGACAATGCTCAGATAGTATATCTGATATGAAAGGAATTGAGTTTTTGATTTTCTAATTCCCTATATCTTTACAACCTGATTTAGTCGATCTTTAATATTTCAAACTATAAATTCTGGTAAATTAAGTTGTGTACGTTTTAAATATGAAATGTATTCACAATTGGATTGTAAAGATTTAGAGATTAGAAAATGTATGTGTTTGGCAAAAACTCAATTTCTTTAGATCTTAGTAATTATTTATTTCAACAGATATTCATGCTTAGAGTTTTTTTTTCAATTTAACTAAAAAATCACCAATTTTTCACCTTCATATAGACACTGTTGAAATCTTCTACAATAATGTTCTTAAAAATGAATTATAAACTTCGAACTCGGCATATATGTGTGTAAGTAATAACTCAGAAGTCGTTTATCTCTAACATTCTTTTCGGAATTTTTAACAATTATAATGTTTATAATCTCAAAATACTTTCGGAATGTTCGATATTGCGAAGAAAATGTGAGATTTCTTCTAGAATCTATTATTTCATTTCCAGGGCGAAATGAAGTGTTCACTAAGGGAGTTGGTGGGACTCCAGTTTCTTCTATTGGGTATTCTTTATAAATAATAATTTTTATCCTTTCTTTAAAACCATTTTAATTATTTTTAACAATTGGGTAAAAATGAAATAAAATTGCATATGACCACAATATGTCCAAGTTTAATGCTTTCATGGTTTGGAAGTTCCAGATTTTTAGGATGTCGTGACAGTTTCATTTTTTGTGAATGACTCTGTAATATCAATTCCTATCCACATAAATAACTTATATAGAAATGAGAATAGAATATGAGAAAATGAATATTTCATAATAGAATATATTACTTCAGAGACTGTTAGAAAACTCTGGAATAGGAAGACGACTTTCAGACTCAATTCATAGGATTAAGAATAGTCCAATGTCAATGAAAGACGGCAATTTTGCAGTGTGCAAAGACATTTTCACTTTATGATTGAATATTATGCTACAAGTAATTGTAGTTAATCTGAAATTGTAACAATATTAAATAAACTTGAAGCATTGCTTTTTATGTCGTCTTCCTATTCCACAGTTTTCTGGTTCTCTCTGTATCTACTATTACTTTCAGAGGAACACGGGCTAGGCTGTCCTCCTCCCCTTCCCTTAGGTAAAACTAATAAAGACGACATTTGTTCAGACGACAATACAACGTATGATGCGCTAGGTCAGTTTAAAGAATTTGATCCTCCAAAACATTTGTATGTACTGCATTGTTTACATTCCCCCCGCAAAATAAAAATAAACTCAATTCTGCTCATTTGAAAAAGGTAAAAGAAAATTTGGTGAGTCAGGGAGAGTTAAATTTGTGGGAGGTTCTAAATGGGATAATAGCCCCCCCCCCCCGTTTTCTGCGCTTACATTAATGAAATATCCGGAACCAGATATAATGAATAGCATAGTTGAATCGTATACACTCAACTTCTAATTACAGCTTAATCCAAATAAAAGTGATTCAACTTAGTCTATACGATTCAACTGTTTCTCGCTTATCATTAGATTGAATCCTTTAGTCAAAACTGTATGAATAGTATTACAATATTTATGAACAGATTATAAAAATTACAAAATAACTGCACTAGACAATAGTTTTTACTTTTGAGAAATTGAGTTTCTGTGACAAACTTAATTTGTGTATCCCTTTGTCTTTGCAACCCGATGTCATAGACCTTCGATATTTGAAGCTTTAGATTCTGTTATATCAAAGTTTACAATATTAATGATTTACACTATCAGGTTGCAAAGAAAATTTGAGTTTATGGCAAAAACTTTAAATAAGAAAATTTAAAATCTCAGCGAAGCAAGTTGCTAACAAATTATGAACATTACAAACCGTTTGCATAAAAGCATAAATATTTGCATATATTTAGTATAATTTAAATACAAATGAAGAAATTACAATTTAGAATTTTCCCTACTAAGAATTAACTTATTTCTAGTTGAAAAGCATAAAAGGATAATGCTCAAAATCTTGACACTTGATAGATCTAAAATTAGAAAAATTCCAACGATCCTTCACGCAGAGATTGCTATGCTCACTTTACAACAATACTCTTTAAAGCTTTGTTAGATCAAACATGAATTATATGATAAACCGAGGGGGGGAGGTAAGGCTAGCGTACAGGGGAGAGGCAATAATTCTCGTGCCCCCTGAACTTAAGCCCCATCCCCGGAAATGTTAAGGTAAAGGGGAAAACATATTCTATGGCAGATCTCAAACTAATTTAAGATAAAACAAATGTTTTGATGTTTAGTAAATAAAGTTTACATATTTCAGTGTTCATGAATAAATATACAGTTAGTCTGTTTATTTCTATTTGTTATTTAAAGTTGGTGCCTCTACAAACTCAGGGAAGACAAACTCCGGAAAGATAAACTCCGGAAAGATAAACTCCGGAAAGGTAAAATCCGGAAAGATAAAATCCGGAAAGATAAACTCCAGAAGGATAAACTCCGGAAAGATAAACTCCGGAAAGATAAACTCCGGAAAGATAAACTCCGGGGAAAGATAAACTCCGGAAAGATAAACTCCGGAAAGATAAAATCCGGAAAGATAAAATCCGGAAAGATAAAATCCGGAAAGATAAACTCCAGAAAGATAAACTCCGGAAAGATAAACTCCGGAAAGATTAACTCCGGAAAGATAAAATCCGGAAAGATAAACTCCGGAAAGATAAACTCCGGAAAGTTAAACTACGGAAAAATAAACTCCGGAAAGATAAACTCCGGAAAGATAAAATCCGGAAAGATAAACTCCGGAAAGATAAACTCCGGAAAGATAAACTCCAGAAAGAAAGACAAACTCGGAAAGAAAACAAACTCTAGGAAGACAAACTCCAGAAGGAAAAATTTCGGAGAGAAAAACTCCAGAAAGACAAACTATGGAAAGAGAAACTATGAAAAAAAAAAAAAAACACTAGAAAGACAAACTCAAAAAGGGAAAGTTTCGGAAATATGAACTCCAGAAAGACAAACTTCGGAAAAACAAATTCCGGAAACACAAACTTTGGAAAGACATACACTCCAGAAAGACAAACTCCGGAAGAAAAACAAACCTAAATATAAATGATACAAAAATATTTACCATGAAATTTATATCTCTTTTTATATTGAAAACGATCATTTTTTTTAATGATAAACGATCGTTTTAAACCCAAAAATTATAGCAAGCTATATCTGTTTGGGTGCTCAGAGATGAGTGATAAAATTATGTAAAATGACTGTTGTATTATCCAAGATTACTGCCTCTTAATCTTACTTCATGTTATTTTTCTAGATTGGGTCGTCAGCTTCCCTTGACCCCTCCCACCCGTCGGCGGTCAGAACAACCTAATGGCCGCCGAAAAGATGAATCCCCCGGCCGGAGTTCTGAACCCCTTGTCTCCAGTCGGAGGGTCCGGCAGCCGTTGAACAAGAGATTGGAGATGGCGTTGAATAAGTTTACTGATATAGCTCTTCCATTTCATCTTAATCTTATAGATAACCATAGGAACAATATCGTTCAGGTATTATTATTATTATTATTATTATTATTATTATTATTATCATTATTGAGTAATCTTAAATACTTCATCCTCTGCTACATGAAGCCAATCCTTAGATAATGATTTCCCAAGGTTTATCTTATTCTCCGAACTATCCATGATAATGTATTTTATATAAATCATATATTACTCTACATTCATTAATTTGTCTGAAGCAAAGGATATTCCATCAAATACTTGATATTTACGTTTTAAATAATAACGTTAGTTATTGCAGACCTTTGATATTGTTTAAACTTGCAGACTTAATAGTTAGTCTACGACAACAGGTTGAAAAGATATAGGGATTAGAAAATCAGAGTAAAAAATAACTAATAAATGGCAAAATGAAATATCTAACCAGTGCGCGTAGTTTTTAAGGCGCGCGTACATGTACTGTGTACTAAGTACATTCTACGTGTAATGTTCAGTCTATATTCTTTGTACTGTGTACTCTCTAAAGCAAACATCCAAAAATGTACTCTTATGTAAAATACAAAAAGTATTTACTATTAAGATGTTACACTCTGTAAAGTGTATTTGAAAAAGAAAAAGTGTATGTACACTAACTCATCGAAATAGTTTTCTCTAACTATCTGTTCATAAATTCTAACGAAATGATAGGGTTTCTTCTATAAGAGTATGTACTCTGTGTTATGTAAACACTAGATAATTGATAAATACGTTGAGAACACAAATGGATAATGGAAACACACTAAATGCACAAAATTAGCAAGATAAGAAAACCTTTTTTATATACAGCTATTTTTTTTTGGCACTTAGACATGTACAAAAATTACCAGATCTAAGTAAAAACAAAATAAATATCCTATTTTTTTTTGTTTTTGGATTTTTGTTTAATTTATGAACACTTTTGTTACTCACAATATGTTCTTAAACCGCTTAATGTTTATGTTAAAATGGACTGTAAGCGTAATTTTCAATAGCCTTCCATTTAAAAACGAACATCCATGATTCAAAACGTCTCGTAAAGTTTCTGTAAAAATATCTGGAATGTACGGTAGCGAACTTTGTGCAGTGAATTCAACGCGTATTAAAGTCACATTTATTCGTGGAAACCCCTGAATGTTTTATGTCCTATTCCCAACCGCTTTTTAACATTCGAATGTGTATATGTATGAACCTTGAATATAAAACAACAAACAAAGTGTTCAGGAATTAAAAGCGTTTTTTAACGAACCTCTGATCCTCTAGTAAAAGTAAATTCAACCTAAAGTCTGACCGCGTCAACCTTGTTGCACCGGCTAGTCCTATTAAGTGTTTGCTTTATTTACCCAATGTCCGGGCGATACAGTACAAACTGAGACCAGAAAGGTTGACCCGGCTCGGAAATCGAAATGTACTATGGCTGCCCCTGTTTTGTTTTTTTAAAGAAAGAAGGAAAGGTTTTCAGGGTACTGTTGTGAATCAAGTATGCACCTGTTGAAATAGAAGGTAACTGAAAATTACGCTACAGCGCCTTTAAACATAAACATTAAGCGGTCAAAAACATATTGTGAGTAAGAAAACTGTTCATAAATTAAACAAACCTTGTTTAGCTATTCTTTTATTTGGTAAATAGTTAGTTACAACTTATTTTAAAAAAATGACACTTTTGTATTTTAAGGGTTAAATATTTTATTGACATTACTTATAAAAAGAACCTATGAGTTATTTAATTAAAATTTGAAAGATCACCTACAAGCAAGAAACATATTTTGAAATGGACAAATTTTTTTAAAAATGTTTCAAGCAACATTTAATTTATAGAGTGATTATCAGTAGGTTTTTTTGTGATTATCATAGGTTGCTTTGTGAAGATCATAGGTTGCTTTGTGATTATCAATAGGTTTCTTTGTGATTACCATAGGTTTTTTTTGTGATTATCATAGGTTTCTTTGTGATTATCAATAGGTTTTTTTTGTGATTATCATAGGTTTCTTTGTGATTATCATAGGTTTCTTTGTGATTATCATAGGTTTCTTTGTGATTATCATAGATTTCTTTGTGATTATCATAGGTTTCTTTGTGATTAACATAGGTTTCTTTGTGATTATCAATAGGTTTTTTTGTGATTATCATAGGTTTCTTTGTGATTATCATAGGTTTCTTTGTGATTATCATAGGTTTCTTTGTGATTATCATAGGTTTCTTTGTTCAGTATAATAAAACAGTTTTTATAACATTATATCTTTACATTAGTTTTGCTGCAACATGCATAAAGTAATTTATATTATCTGCAGTTCTATCCATAATTATTCTCATTATCTGTAATTAGGTAGGTATTAGTAAAAAGTTTTTCATGCGTCTTTAATATAAAAATATCAGAGGCTTCGAGTCGAGGCTTCCTAATGCTATTTATTTTTTGAATTTTTAATGGTATAAAAAAACTTGGGATAATTTGCTGAAATGTATTATTATAAATATAAGGAATTGAGTCTTTGCCACAAACTCTGATTTCTGGATCCCTATATCTTTGCAACCTAATTTCGTAACTTTATATATTTCAAAATATGAATTCTGTTAGATCAAATAATTCAAGCTTAATATGTCAAAGATTTCCTTCATAGGGTTGTAAAGATATAGAAATTATAAAATTTGAATTTATCGCAAAGACATTAAAGACACATAAAAGCAGTGTGTGAAAATCTGTGACTTTTTGTTTGACGTTTCTGAGGTTCAAAATGCTAAATGGGTTCTTTTGGCCCAAATTGATGTTTGTGAATACATAAAGTTCCACTGTTCTCCATCTGCAGATAAAATAAAATTATATGGATGTTTTGAATGCTGACGTTTTTTTTATTTTATGATAAGTATTACATTTATTCTCAAAATGTGGCCGAGGCTTGCCAAAACTTCGCAACTCTGTGCAAATATAAATTGTATAAAATGATATTTCTATTCCTCGTTGATGTCCTCGTAGAATTTAAAGTGAAATGTTTTTGCAAAGAAATGGCGGGAAAATCCACCACTAGATTGAATTTTCTTTATTTTCTTTATTGCAGATCCGCGGATTTGCATAGAATTTATTCATCGCGGAACATTCACAGGATTTCTTGCATACCTGCATACTTTTGAAATGATTTGATTTTTGCAAACTTGGAATTCAAAAGCAGGAACATTTATTTAGAAGAGCGGCCACCCACTTGGAGATTTTTTCCAAAAATAAAGGGGGGGGGGTGGAAAGTTGTTTCCCTCTCTTTGATAATTTTTATTCAAGATGTTCTGGAAGATTCGACTTCTTATTTACAAACATTATTTTTTGATAAAATTGGTTATTATATTGGTTTAATTATATATATATATTATATTACAGAAACTGAGAAGGTTTATTAGTGCAGCATAATCTCAAGTTATATGTTGGGGTGGGGGATTCTTAGAAAAAAATTATATTACAATTCCTCTCATCCTCACCTCCCCCCCCCCCCAGCTATAGGGGGGGGCACTGGTCAGGGGTTGGAAGTTCTAAAAATCAAATTTTATACTTTCTCAAAGACATCTTCAAAAGTTATCTGTGTCTATGTTTTAAGTTGAACCATTCATTTTTTCTTCAGTGCTAGACTCAAGCTACAGCAAGCTATGGTTGCAATGAACATAAAACATCAAAATTTTGCCATTTCCAATGTCGTCTTCCTATTCCACAGTTTCATGAGCCCTACTGTCGATTCTATTCAAATTAATATTGCCATTTTAATTCTTACCTAAAGCTAAATTTTTAAAGAAAATAAAAGTACTTCAAATAAACATTAAAGAAAATTACATAAAACTTATTTTAAACTTTTCTTGCACGGTGCACGACATTAAAACTTTAACAGGTTTAAGCTTTTGTTAAAATTAACAGAAGAATTAGGTGAAGGTTTGTATAATCGTCTGATTTCTTCTCGATTCTGATTGGATTGAGAAAACATAGGCTTTTTTCAACGAGTATAGAGTGATAATGTACGCTAAGCCTTTACTAATTATATAGGCCATCAACTATACCGAGAGCGCACTGCATATGTATTTATTATAAGTTAATTCTGGCCTAACCTATAATATATCAATATTAGTAAACAGTTGTAAAATAAAAGAGTATCGTTGAATGAATTTCGGGGTCTTAACATTTAAGTAGATTTTAATTTAAGAGATTCGAAAAAAACGAGAATATGAAGAAACTAAATAAAATAATATTTCATAACAAAAATATTGATATATTAAAAACTGCCTAACCCCATTCGTGAAACCTGGGTTTTAAAACTGGTTTAATAACGATTTCTTAAGTTCCGGGCTCTGGTTTTTTTACTTTAATTAATGCAGACTATGATTCATTAGATAACATCATAATTGTACATAAATATATAATATCAGTCAATTTTTAAAATTAGGTAGGCCAGTAGACAATATTTATAAAGCTAAGAAGGCATAAAACCTTTATTTTTCGAAATAAATAACGTCCAAATTAAAATCTTAAAAATACTTTTTCAATTGTAAAAAAAAGCTGAGGACCATAAAGCAAGATAAATCGGAGAATAAAAAGAAATAAAAAGTGCCAAATTTCTGTTTTACCCAGCTTACTTTATGGACATTTATGAGCAATTCAAATACAACGACGACCTCTGTACCATTTATAAAATCGCATGTTTATTGAGACCCTCTGTGTGGCAAAAAATGTATTTCTTATTTAAACTAATCTTTATAATAAGATTGAGAGTGGGGGGGGGGGTGCAAAGAACCAACAGTATATGTACATAAACATATATATTCATTGATGCAATAATCATAAAACCCATTTATTGTTTCTTTATTTGATAATATTTTCAGAATATTCATTTTGGAGGAATATCAATATATTTCGACATAGATGTATAGATATAACAGACCCAACAGTACCCGCCGAAAAACTCATCTGCGTTAAGTTTGGTCTGTGATAAAGGAATAAAAGCATGCCAAAATTATAATCAAAACATTTAAAGAAACTATTTCATGCAAAACAAACCTTGAGATATCGAAGCAATTTTCCCAACATTTCAAATTTTAACAGAATGCTTATAATTTAAAATGATTTTAGTTTTTCAATATTACAAGTAAAAATTAAGCACTTTATTAAAAACTTTTAAAATTATTTTGTGTCTGTTTATACAATCTAAACGGAAAAAAGTAAGTAAATATATTTTAAGCAATATCAAAAGTATAAAGATGTTCATTTCGCTGAACTTTCTTTAAGAAATAATAGATTTAATCAAAAGAAGCCATTTAAATATAGTTTCACGTTTTTTTTCTTATACCCTGTATGTGTGTGTACTGTGTACTAATACTAAATATAATATGAATAGAAACTAAGTAATAAGCTGTATATATATATATCTAAGATTGAGTCAAGGAGTATGGAATATAAGAAAGAAGGGATCGACCCGGCCCGCCCAACCATATGATTTATACATCCTTCGCAGACGGTGCTCAAATTGAAAAAGAGTTTTTAAGGTCGTCTTTTAATTTTTTAAATGTGTTTTTTTTCACTATACCATATCAAATAAAGCGATTTTTTATATGATAAAATAATATGTCTGTATTGCCAATATTTTTGCATCCCAGAAAATGTGTTTGTTTGGCGTTCAGCCTACCTTTTTACCTGTGTAATGTATACAATAACCTATTCTGTGCGCGGTATTTGTACATCAGACAGTTAAGGAAAACATGTTTCTTCAAGATACTAATTCAAGGAAAGTTATTTCAGAGGTGTACGCATTTTTTGTACTGCAGTGTACTGTCTTTGGGCTGAAAAGTAAACACAAGACGGATGTCACAGCTAGCCTGACATAGTATTTTTCACATAAAAAATTCAATGAAGTATTCTGGTCATAGGAAACTTTTATGTGAATTTTCAAAATTATCAAAATTAAATGCTTTTATCCTCGGATACCAGACGAACACTGATGCATCTATTCTTGTTTACAAATTCCGCCCAGAGAGAACTGGTTTCAATATGTACGCAGAGTATACGCGACCGCAATTAACTTTCTTTGCATTAGTACTTTGCATTTCTTATTCAAATGGAGTACCCGACTACAAAGCATGTATAATCATATAGTAGGGCGGACCGGGTCGATCCTTTCTCCGTTATATTACATACTCCTTAAGGATTGAGTGTATATCATGTAAGTTGTAAGTGGAATACCAAAGACACAAAATATATAGTATTCGTTTTAAGAATAAATAGGACACCATTAAAAATGCTTTCAGCAAATATTATTTATCTCTGTGGTTGCATGTCTGAACATCATTAGCTCATCTATTATCCTAGAATATACCCATAGAAAAAATATTTTTCTAAAAACTCGATATCCTATGGGATAAAAATGGTTCCTACCACAAAAGAAAACCCACGAGTTTAAAAAAAGTTTAAATTAAATATGATTAATATAATCGAACCATCTATTTTAGATATGTGTTTAATACATGTAAAAAATCCACATAACCATTGTATTTTTATTTTTTCTGAAGCACAAATCTACGGTTTTTCAATTAGGATATGCAACAAATGTACGGATGTTGTATTTGTAATAGTTATAATTAAAACCTAATCACGAACTACAAACTATTTAGTGCCTAGTGGGGCCCCGGGGTTTAAATCAGAAAGCACAGAAATGACAATCATTCTGCTGTTATTTATTTAAAGAATTTTTTGTAAATTTCCTAAATTTATTTTTGAAGGTTTTGGTATAATTCCTTCTTAAAACTTTATTTTGTAGTTTATTCTATGTTATAAATAAATTACTTACTTATTATTTTTAGTTGCAACAGAATGGAGGTGGATTGGAGAAGCTCAGGGCGGAAGTGGAGGCAGCTAGTAGAGCTGTTAGGCAGCTAGGATCCCTCCTCTTTGAAATGGAGGTAAAAATAGATTTAAAATGATTTATGTCAAGTATTTTCAAATCTTGTGTATACTTTGTTTATGAAATTGTCTTATATATTGCAGTTCTTTAGTATTGGATTATTGAGCCGGTACAAAGATACGTTTAAAGATTACATCACTACACATTTTCCTAAAACTTTTATTTCAAAATGGCGACGATAAAAAAATGGCGGCCATTAGATGTTTCCCGGATTTCAGTGAAGTTTGGGATTGGAGGAGAGAGTTTCATTTGTTCCCCAGAGAGTAAACTAGATCCAAGCAATCTTTTAAAATATGCATGGACAGGTTTCATACTGGGTATAAACCAGGATCCCTCGACGCTGGTTTAAATTTCATTTCATGTTTTTATAAATATTATATTTCTGAGATTTTTTCAGTTTTAGGATTTGGTATTTTTACTGGATGCCTTTAAAGATTGCCAAAGAAAATGCATGCTATCTTCGTATTCGGTTTTTATCTTTTATTTCAAGCCCTAAAATCCTATATTTCAGGTCCCAAAATTCCTGCATTTCAGGTCCTAAAATTTTATATTTGAGGTTCTAAAATCCTATATTTCATTTCTAAAATCCTATATTTCAGGTTCTAAAATCCTATATTTCAGGTCCAAAAAATCCCGCATTTCAGGTCCTAAAATTCTATATTTCAGGTTCTAAAATCCTAGATTTCAGGTTCTAAAATCCTATATTTTAGGTCCTAAAATCCTATATTTCAGGTCATAAAATTCTATATTTCAGGTCCTAAAATCCTATATTTCAGGTCCTAAAATCCTATATTTCAGTTCCGAAAAGCCTATATTTCAGGTCCTAAAATACTATATTTCAGGTTCTAAAATCCTATATTTCAGGTTATAAAATTCTATATTTCAGGCCTTAAACTCCTATATTTTTCAGGTTCTAAAATCCTATATTTCAGGTTCTAAAATCCTATAATTTTAGGTTTTAAAATCCTGTATTTTAGGTTCTAAAATCCTATATTTAGGTTCTAAAAATCTATATTTAAGGTCCTTAAATCCTAAATTTCAGGTCCTAAAATCCTATATTTCAGGTCCTAAAATCCTAATTTTAGGTTCTAAAACCTATATTTCTGGTTCTAAAATCCTATATTTCAGGTCCTAAAATCCTGTATTTCAGGTTTTAAAATCCTATAATTCAGGTTCTAAAATCCTGTATTTCAGGTTTTAAAATCCTATATTTCAGGTTCTAAAATCCTGTATTTCAGGTTCTAAAATCCTATATTTTAGGTTCTAAAATCCTGTATGTATTCAGGTTCTAAAATTCTGTATTTCAGGTCCTAAAATTCAGTATTTCAGGTTCAAAAATCCTGTATTTCAGGTTCTAAAATCATGTATGTATTCAGATTCTAAAATCCTATATTTCAGGTTCTAAAATCCTATATTTTATGTTCTAAAATCCTATATTTCAGGTTTTAAAATCCTATATTTCAGGTTCTAAAATCCTATATTTCAGGTTCTAAAATCCTGTATGTATTCAGGTTCTAAAATTCTATATTTCAGGTCCTAAAATTCAGTATTTCAGTTTCAAAAATCCTGTATTTCAGGTTCTAAAATCATGTATGTATTCAGATTCTAAAATCCTATATTTTAGGTTCTAAAATCCTATATTTTATGTTCTAAAATCCTATATTTCAGGTTCTAAAATCCTATATTTCTGGTTCTAAAATCCTGTGTGTATTCAGGTTCTAAAATTCTATATTTCAGGTCCTAAAATTCTGTATTTTAGGTCCTAAAATTCTGTATTTCAGTTTCTAAAATCCTATATTTCAGATTCTAAGATTCAGTATTTCATGTTCTAAAATCCTGTATTTCAGGTTCTAAAATCATGTATGTATTCAGATTCTAAAATCCTATATTTCAGGTTCTAAAATCCTATATTTCAGGTTCTAAAATCCTATATTTCAGGTTCATAAAATCCTATATTTCTGGTTCTAAAATCCTGTGTTTATTCAGGTTCTAAAATCCTACCTGGAGACTGGTGCAGATATCCTCTATTTTGATCTCCGAGTTGAACCTGCAAAGAAGACAGCATATCACGCTATACAGGAGCTACATGGTAAACCAAAGAATAGAAAATTAAAAGAGTGGAATTTACTTTTAAAAAAACGTGCAAAACCGCCATTTTGTTGTTTACTGTAATTTTCCAATTTGTAACATTTTTGCATTATATTTGCACTTTTATCTCCTTTTCAGACTGATCATGACTGAATTATTCAAAACCGAGCAACAAACTATATTTCCTCTCAAAGATTTTTTTGTGTGTTTTAAACACATCAGATACATCTTTAGTAATATCATAAGATTTTAGTCCATTAAATATATTTTTATTAATATCATTATAATCAATAGAATTAAACCCATTAAATATATTGTTAATAATCCATTTAATACATTGATAGTATTATCATTATAATCATTAGAATCAAACCCATCAAATATATTGTTAGTAATATCATTATAATCAATAGAATTAAACCCATTAAATATATTGTTAATAATATCATTATAATCATTAGAAACCAATAAAATATATAATTAATAATTAATAATATTGTTATAATCATTAGAGTTAAACCTATCAAATACATTGTTAGTAATATCATTATAATCATTAGAATCAAACCCATCAAATATATTGTTAGTGATATCATTATGATCATTAGTATCAAACCCATCAAATTATTGTTAGTAATATCATTATAATCATTAGAATCAAAACAATCAAATATATTGTTAGTAATATCATTAAAATCATTAGAATCAAACCATCAAATACATTGTTAGTAATATCATTATAATCATTAGAATCAAACCTATCAAATACATTGTTAGTAATATCATTATAATCATTAGAATTAAACCCATTAAATACATTGTTAGTAATATCATTATAACCATTAGAATCAAACCCATCAAATATATTAATAGTAATATCATTGTAATCATTAGAATTAAACCCATCAAATACATTGTTAGTAATATCATTATAATCATTAGAATTAAACCTAGCAAATATATTGTTAGTAATATCATTATAATCATTAGAATCAAAGCCATTAAATATATTGTTAGTAATATCATTTAATCATTAGAATCAAACCTATCAAATACATTGTTAGTAATATTATTATAATCATTAGAATCAAACCTATCAAATATATTGTTAGTAATATCATTATAATCATTAGAATCAAACCCATCAAATACAATTAAAGATGTCGTCAGTAAAAATAATAACACATTGTATCATCATAAAAAAATAATTTTTTTACCATTTTTAGAAGAAGAAAAAAATATGTTTTTAAAATCAGCTGATTTTTTTCAGAGATTTGTCCAAACTCCTCAACAAATTACTCTGGCATATCCGCTGGTTCCTCTAAAAGGTCGTCATCACTAACAATTTGTGCCAAAACTCCAGATTCGCCACAAGATTTTCCAAACAGCAGGAATATTTCAAATTCAATTTGTTTACTTGCAATAAACTGCCATTTTGTAAACACTTAAAAATGGCGGATACTTTGAAAATATTTTCAGTTTTTTTGTTGCAAGTCTTTCTTCTTAGTATATTTAAGACAAAAAAGGCAGTAAAATATTTGGTAGATTTTCCTCATTTTAATTAAACAATTTTCTTAAAGGCATATTGTAAATGGCAGAATCATTTTAACGATTATAGGATACGAACAAATAAACAAACAAACAAACACCCGAAAAAAAACGAAAAACAAACACCCAAACAAACAAAAGGCAAGTCAAATAATTTATATGCAAATATGTATATTGGAATAAAAACATTTTTGGAAATATTCGGAAATAAACTTTGTAAATCTTTGAAGAGTTTCTTGAACAAACCGGAAATGGAAAATGTTCTATTTCCGGTCACATTTCTCACGTGGTTCCAATTCAACCAAGGAAATCTGAAATATATTGAAAAGAAAATTTTTTTCTTCAAAAAAGCAAAACTTAAACATGACTGTTCAAAATATGAATTGCAATATAGTAATGATAAAACGTCCTCCATGTTTTTTTTCTATTTTGAATATTGTGAGAACAGGAGACATTCGGACAGTGAAACTCAGTCCGTGAGTTCTCACACCTACTCCTTGAACGGGGACTCCAGGGAGTCCTTACTCTCACATAGGAGTAGGAGTATACAGGTATACCAGGGAGTCCTTACACAGGAGTAGGAGTATACAGGTATGCCAGGGAGTCCTTACACAGGAGTTGGAGTATAGAGGTATACCAGGGAGTCCTTACACATGAGTAGGAGTATACAGGTATACCAGAGAGTCCTTACACAGGAGTTGGAGTATACAAGTATACCAGGGAGTCCTTACACAGGAGTTGGAGTGTACAGGTATACCATGGAGTCCTTACACAGGAGTTGGAGTATACCAGGGAGTCCTTACACAGAATTTGGAGTATACAGGTATACCAGGGAGTCCTTACACAGGAGTTGGAGTATACAGGTATACCAGGGAGTCCTTACACAAGAGTTGGAGTATACAGGTATACCAGGGAGTCCTTAAACAGGAGTTGAAGTATACAGGTATACCAGGGAGTCCTTACACAGGAGTTGAAGTATACAGGTATATTAGGGAGTCCTTACACAGGAGTTGGAGTATACAGGTATACCAGGGAGTCCATACACAGGAGTTGGAGTATACTTGTTTTAATTTTAAAACATTTGTTTACTTGTACAATAATATCAAAAGAATATTTCGCAAAGAAATTGAGTATTAAATAAAATATTTAATATCTATAATCTCAGTCAAATTCCAAGTTTTCATTTTTACTTTTTTAACCCAGTCAATACTTTAGTCTGGGTAATGGCCTCTGATCCATTCCTTAGATGAAAAATAACAAAGTTTATTGAAACATAAAGAATTGTAAAACTGACCATCGAACAATTAGATAGGAATTATTTTCAGTAGACTCATGGGTTGGACTTGGTTCGTAAGAGATTGCAAAATGAGGAACAAAATAAATTTTTTTTAAAATGAATTCACTCTTTATTAAACTATTTGCAATCAATAGTTAGAAGATTGTAGCAGTGTGGATCGTGTCCTAATTGGGACACTAATCAATTAATCCCTAATTGACATAGATAGCCGACAAGATTGTATTGATAGCTAAGTGAAACTAAACTGTACCTGGATAGATACGTGTTAGAGAAACCGTTCTGGAGTAGGCATTTATTTCACTAAAACCATTCCTGTAATTTTCATGTGTTCCCACATACAAATTTGAGACAAATCAGTCATGGGGTTCATGAGTTATGATCAGACATACAAGCAAACAAACAAACAGAGATTACTACTTAAATGAAGAGATAAAGAGAAATTAAAATATAATAAACTATACAAGGTGCTTTGCATTACTTTTTCTTGTAATAATTAAATTTTTTATTAGTTTAGCAAAATATTTGAAAATATTTCTTTCGACACCTTTTTTAAGGTATAGCATATATGGTTGCACACCAACTTTGTCTTCGATAGAGCTCCCATACAAAATCAATGCAATTGTTTTTACATTTAAAGAAGGCGAAAGTTTATTTTTAGATTTAACAAACATTAGTCTAATGTATGTTGAATAATGAATATATCTGTAAATGTAAAAGAAAGTATATATTTATACATACTAGAAATTCAAGGCGCTTCGCGCCCTTCTTTCTAGCCTTAGAGGGCGCTTCGCGCCCATCTTCTAAATTAAATATATAGATACTGTATGATGAATATATCAGTAAATGTAAAAGAAAATATATTTAAACATATAACAAACATGAGTCTAATGTATATTGTAAAATGAATATATAAGTAAATGTAAAAGAAAGTATATTTATACATATAAAAACATGAGTCTAATGTATATTGAATGATGAATATATCAGTAAATGTAAAAGACAGTATATTTATACATATAACAAACATGAGTCTAATGTATATTGTATGATGAATATATCAGTAAATGTAAAAGAAAGTATATTTATACATATAACAAACATGAGTCTAATGTATATTGTATGATGAATATATCAGTAAATGTAAAAGAAAATTCTATAATTTATCAGTTTCTCGAGAAAGAATAAGATTAATTTCTGAAGCTTGAAGATAAATGATAAAAATCCTATATGTGAAAATCCAAGGTTAGAGTCTCAAGAAATATTGAAATAACACAGAACATATATATATTAGAGCATATTTTTTATGGAACATATTCAATATAGAACATATTCAAAATAGAGCATATTTATTAAAGAACATATTCAATATAGAACATATTTATTATAGAACATATTCAATATGGAACATATTCATTATAGAACATATTCAACATAGAACATATTCAATATAGAACATATTCAATATAGAACTGTTGTATTCCGGATTGTTTGATATATGAGTGAACAGTCCCTTGAATCCAACAGGAAGCCAGATGGATCAGTACATCCCGGACCGCTGCAG